GCGCAGGTTTTCGATACCGACATCGTGGACATCAAAGCGAGATGTTGAGGAGGCAGTAACAGTCGATACACTGGCGAGTCTTCGATAATGACCAGCACTGGCCCACAGTGCTCATGCGATGTTGGTTGCCTCGGTCACAAATTTTTCAATGGTCGTTGGGGGGATGCGTATAAGTCCACCGAAGGTTTCGCACTTCACGCCTTCCATGAGAAAGTGCAACTTTTTCTCGTCGGGAGCAAGCGGGTCGGTGCCTGCACTTAGACGTAGCCTATTTTCAACGCTTTCGCTGGGGGCCTGAATGTGTGTTTGAAGCAGATCCTCCGCTTGCTGCCATCGGTGTTGGCTCACAAATGTCTGCTCCAACTTGGCCACACAGATGTCCCACGACGTGAGCGAAGCCTCGTGGTCCTCGAACCAGTGCCTCACAGTACCCTCGAGCGAAAAATAGAGGTTCTGCAAGTACTGCTCGGCAGTCCATCCGTTATGGCATGCCACGTGCTTGTTGTGTTCGATCCAGTCCTCGACGTCCTTGTGGATCTCACTGCGGAAGGGCGTCGGGGTACGAGGGGTGACAGCAGGTAAACGACAGAGGAGACAACGGTGGGAGTCTGCGACAATTGGCTGCTCATCGTTGGCTTCGTTGACAGGTGGGTCTTCTCCGGCAGTAGACCGAATTCCAAGGGCAAACCCTGAACACGGCGGCTTCCTCGGGTCTCGGTCGTTTCCACGGACGGTCTTCTTGAGCCAGGGACTGGGCCTGCGCTGGGAGGCCTCTGAGGGGTATGCTTCATGAGCTGCGTTACCCCTCACCTACATCAGAAATGTCACGAATGACAGACGATGAGGCGAAAACGGAAGGAACTGAAAATTTAATGGGGGCGAACTTGTGCCAGAAACACAAAAGGAAGAACACGCGTTGAGAAAACAACTGTGAGAGTCGGAGGCGGCAGCAGCAGGCGACGGTACGTCGATGTAACAGCTGGCTATTGCGAGAGAGAAGCAGTGAAATGAATCGGCAATAAAGCGCACGGCTCTTTATCTGGCTCTTTATCTACTATGCGCGTCATCTCGAATATTCGGCCTAGAATGTTCGAGAGAGAGCTAGGGCGCGTCTGACTAGGCAAGGTCATTCTGGCCTCCTGATCGTTTACGCTCAGGGTAAGAGTGTATGCAAATCTTCTAGATAAACGGAGAAGAGTATCTTCTTGTTTATGCACGCAGAAATATACACAGAAGCAGCAAAACATCACCTGTAAGGTCTGTGTCCAGCTCTTTTATAGCTTTCTTTGCAAGAAAACACTGGAACTCGTGCATTGTATAAAAATAAATAAAGTTGACTGGCACTCGAACTTCAACTCGGCGCAGCAAAACAAACACACTTAACCTTTTGTCTGCTTTCTTTCTTTGCTTTTCTGTGGCTCTCTTTCTCTTTCTTTTCCTCGGGACTACCGATGTCAGTGCTCAAGATTTGCTGCATTCTGTTCCCGTCTTTACACACGTGTTTTTCCTATTTGTAGGCACGTAAGCGATTCTTTGTTAGTGTTGTCTTTGATGTTGGTAAAACGCAGAAGCAAGCGGGCGGCTTTATCGGCGACAGAGCTGAAGAAGTGTGATTGGGGACATATTTTGGACGCCACACCCCAGGCTTACTTCCGTTTTTTTCTCCCTTTGGCGCCACCTGGTGTTGCCTACAAGGGCCGCTTAAACACCGTGGAGCAGAGTTCTTGAGCACCGGCTCGTCTTGGCTCCGAATAGAGATCGGTATGTGTAAAATTTGCATACTAGACAATTCTCCTTCATGTTGCTGACTACTCTGACTGGCACAGTCAATTGCAACGCAAAAGAACTAGAGTGATCTGAAAAACACTGCTTCTACGAATAGAAAGACAGCGAACATGAAACGAAAGCGGATGAATGTCACCGACATGGATTCTGGCAGAGATTTTGAGCAAAAAGCAGAGTTGCATCATGGCCATGTGGAAGCGCCCTATAAAATCAGTGGTAGGAGTGTTCCATAGGAGCATAAACTAGCTGGAAGCTGCTCCATCAAATGTTTTGTAGCGGCTTCTTGAGCGGATGGGAAAAGTTTCACAAATGTAAGGAAATGAGATCTGAGGGGCCAAGAAACAACTTTGATAAGCAGTATATTTTGTTTACCTGTGCATCTGGCACAAAGCAATACGTGCATATAACAAAACCTACATTAAGAAAAAAAAAAAGCTACCTAGTAACAGTGTTCAGCCAAAATTTTGCATTTTTTGCTGGGGAACCCTGAACACAGAAAGGGAAACTATTCCCTGATCGAATGACCAATGGAGATGCACTGTGAAGCTTTCAACGAAAACTTCATGTCAATCTAGGTGTTTCCCTTTTAAATCCCCATTATGCTTGCAGTCTTTGAGAAGTTCATCCTCTCCGCTGCTCGCAACAGGACGGAAACTAAAAATGCCTTTGACAGGGTATGCACTTTGTTTCTATGTTCCTGTGTGCCATGTCAACCTCTTCAATCATATACAGGGTACAAACATACAAAATTTAAACTCCAAACATACATATCTGAAACTGATCATGCAAATGTAGTTTCACACGTTTTATGTACTTTTTTTTTTTAGAATCCGATTCTGAGGTAGTGAAATACTGAAAATAAAGCAAAATCAGAGGTAAAGTATTTCCTATTTCCTACACCAGCCTGTTCTCCGTATGCACACTGGTTTATGAGCTCGCTCCTGAGTGACTTGCTGCAAGCCAAAATGCTAAAAACTGGCATTTTAGCATTTTGGCTATAAGCAAGATAATTGCGATAATTGCTGGCTATGAGCAAGATAATTGCGATAATTAAATATTTTAACGAAATATATAAACAATGACCACCCGGGGGGCAAGATCCTAAACCAGTATGCAGACGACAAACATACGGAATGGGGCATAGGAAATGTGTGGCCGCTGTTTTTGCTCTATTTTTAATATTTTACCATCTCTGACTTGAGCTTTGAAAAAAATCAACATAAAACTTTTTGTGAAATTATGTTTGCGTACCCACTTTCAGGTATGTAAATTATGAATTTGAATTTTGTAAGGCATGCCAAGTGTGTTAGCCCTTATGGCCGTGCCCTGTACAACGGGGTGTTCTTTTTATACTTAAGATTTGTTTTAAAAAAGCTGTGAAAGCTACACTAATGCGGTCTCTGCAGGCGAGTTATACGTTCAGCAGGACATAATATAGGGGGCTAATCGTCACAATAAGTTGGATAATTAACTAAAATCTGTTTAAGAACTTCTTAATTAGTGAAAATAAATTAATGGCTCAAATTAGAAACTGGCTGTGTCATCAAAAACCACTAAATGAGTAAATTTTAGAAACATTTGGAGTGTGTGGAAAGCGCAGTGGGGCACTAAATACTTGTGTAACAGGCTCAAGGCTGGCAGCGCGAAAATGCGGATGGTGGGCGCACAGTAGTGTCATCACCTGTGCGACAGTGGTAACTTTAGTGCAGCAGTACGCTTCTCACAAGCTTAAAATCTTGCTAAAATCCTTATGTTTATTTTCACCATTTAAAAAGTTAATGAACAGATTTTAGATAATTACCCAACCCACTAATTGAGATAATTACCCAACCCTCGTAGTACAACTCGCCTGCGCAGACCAAATTAATGTAGCTTTCATGACCCTTTTAATGCAACAGCATTAACTGCCCCATGGCACGAACCGCCTTGAAGCCGCGCCGAACGGCACCTTCCGTTCCCAATGGAGTGAAGCCTGTCGTCTGTAGCAGAAATATGATGGATAGGCTCCCATTGGCTGGCGCGCATCATCAAGAAACGAGGCTCCCATTGGCTCTCGCGCGGCGTAGTTAAAAAAAAAGGCCACCAGAAAAGCCCTCTCCATGGTGGCGCAGCGCGCGCAGCGGCCGCCATTAAGAGGTGCAGCGGTGTGGGCCTGGCCGCACAACCTGCTCGGGGAAGCTCCGGAGAGGCCGCACGGCCAAGCTCAGTGCGGCGCGGCCACTTCACAAGAGCACGCGCTCGGCTGTCCACGCCACTACGCCGCAGACAAACTAAGGGAGCGGAAGAATGACATTCATGCTTTCACATTAAAAACTCATAAGAGGTGCTTAGGTGTCCTCGGATTTTTTAAATAGACCTGTGAAGCCCAAAGAGAAACACCCTGTACATACAGCATGTGCATTTCTACTTTTGAGCAGAGATGAATGAGAGAAAACATGCAAATGCATTGGAAGAAATTAGTAATCTTAAATGTGACACCAGAGAGCAAGTGCCATGCCATTTTCTTAGTTTCTTCTCACCATAAAGTATTGTGTGAAAGGAAAAAAAAACTACCATAGTGCTCTTCAATGCACTACAAATCAAAGTTTTATTTGGAGCATTCAGACCTTGACCAATGTTCAGAAATTTCCAGAAATTTCCAGTTTTTTGTTGGCTATTAAACCTAATTTTGCTGACTAATTCCGAGAAGGTCTACAATTATCACTTAGGATGCCAACTATGACAACATGTAAAATGTGACTTTCTATGAGCTCGGAAAGAGCACCAATGCGTAATATTGAAGCTTCCATTGGTACTTCTACGGTTACCGACCTATTACATAAATTACCATGGCACTGAGAAGCTGTGTTTGACCTGAGCGTACAACAAAGTAAAATGTATTCACAACCTTCCTAGTCTCTTGGAATGTTCTGTCTGAATTCTCTGACATTTGATTGACTTTTTAGGACGACTAAATTCCCCTGATAATTGTGCATTCCCTGAAAAGACGGTCTTTTCTTGTTAGTAGGCAAACAGGCATTATTCAGTTGAACATTAAAACTTCTATGATAGGTCTTTTCAACATCAATTTAGATACACAACTTGAAGAATGCCATGATGCATTTACCTGAAATGGCATGGCCCAGGTTACCAGGTTTGCCAGCAGTCTTGGGAACGGGCACAAATGAAGTGTGGGCTTCGGCAGCACCAAAATAAAGAGGCTAGAAAACGCAGCGTAGTAACACAACTCTATTCACTTTTATTAGATTATCTCATATATAACCTTGAAAACTCAACCCTGCATTCACCTCGGAGAATGCACACTCTCTACCAACAGAGCTCACCCAAAAACAGTGGGTACTAAACAGTCTCCCAACAAGTGGCACATCCACGCAGAAGAGAAAGAACTCTGCCTTCCCCAATAAAACCATGCCCTACCTCTGTTGCTCCCACAAGTGTCCAGACCTGTAACCATCAGGGAAAAAACGCGCAAAGCGAATGCCAGGACGCTTTCGATTCTTGACGCTTTCGCCCTCTTATGCTCGACGAAAAGACTGACCAAAAAACTTGGCACGAACAGGATGTTAGGAGCAGCAGTTCCTTAACCGTTGGCAGTAGTCCCCCTTTCAAAGGGGCAATGCAGAATGGAAACAAATGCACATTTAAAAAGGAAACAAGTCCACATCCAAACATGCTCATGAAACTAAAGTATGACGCACATCACGATACCGGTGGGTCTAAAAAGAAAAATGACACCCGACGCATGCGTTGGCCAACATTGGTGGGGTAGTAGGGGGGGGAGAGAGAGAGAAATACGGACATTATTTTGCCGAAGACTTTTGAGCAAACGACCCAAACAAAACTGTGAGAGAGGGTCGAGCTTGCTGACCTCGCGGTTCAGTCCACAGTGTAGACAACAGATTTTTGAGGGTGTGCATAAGTGCTGCTTTGCGGGCGCGGGGCAGTCATGCTTCTGACACCATTCTTAATGCCGGCTGCTTTTCGTGCAAAATGGCAACGGACAGTACACGCAGGACGAGAAAAACTAACGAAACAAAAGCAGTCATGCCCAGTCATGCCTGTGCTCTGCGCCTATCACAAATGTACCGAGTCATCTGACACACTCAGCTCGTCATCTACAAAGACATGCTCTCCCTTTGCTTCAAGAACATACTTTAGGAGAAAGCGGAAGTTACCAACTTTGACTTGAAAGCAAGTGCATATTCCTCAGTGGCAGCGATAGCAGCTTGTAGAACGTGTCCATGCAAAGTCGGCTTTCACATGGATGCATATCATGCAGTGACGAGGGAACGCCGTTTCGTGCGCAGACCAAAAATGACTTAAACAATGGCAATGTTTGAACTCTCCACCTTAGTATATATAGTGTGCCAATAACCAGTGAACATAAAATGGAGGGATGCCAGCATCCATCATGGTTTCCTTAGAACCAACCTTGCTGACAAAGTGGAACTACTATCACAATGAAAAACTTTGGCAGGGGCACGTCATGAAATACACATAACAATGTCAACAATGTATCAGCAAAAAGGGTAAAAAACTAAAAGTTGGTTCACTGTTGTCATTGTCACAGATCAAAAGTCAAGATCAAAGTATTCTTCAGTTCAAAGACTTTCTGAGCAGATAAGAGAGGTTGCCATTGGCATGTTGAGGCAGTCAATTGAAAGGAACCGCATCCTCCAGTCTTCTTCAATTACAGGACACAGAGGATTTGCAGCTGCAAGCACCTAATTGGGGGCTACCTGCTTTGTATGTTGATCATAAACTCCTTAACCATGAGACATAAAACTTTTTCAAGTACAAAGTCGAAAAAAAATTTTGACTTCTTTTTGTGTGTGGTAGCAACACATGCAAGTGACATACATGTTTGGGCAACGCCACAGCGTAACAAGCAAATAAGAAAATACATACTAAGTAAATTCGCATTCTTGAACAGGTGTCTTCCGCTCCTGCAATGCACACATCCACATGACGTCAAAATGAGAGAGGAGCGTTTCAGAATTATTTTGAGTGATGCATCAGGTTTTGAAAAACACATCTGATTGACAAAAAAATTTTCAACAAGCAGGCCACATAAGCAAGTCATGAAGCTTTTCAGGACCACCATGTATGTTATGGCACATATAAATAAACAGCAGCCTATTTTTGAAAGCATTTTTCAAAAGTATTAACCATAAGAAGCACAAGCTCAAACAAAAGCATTTTGAAAACCTCACAAAGCCTCTGTTCCTTCTATGTTTTAACCATTCTTCTTCTTCCCGTCTCGGGTTAATTCAACACAGTTAATATTCACCAGCTTGCCTGCACCCTTACCATAATTTCTCTGAAGCCCCTAGCTTATAAATTTATGTACGTCCAATTTGTATCTGCCGTCCCGACAAAAAGAATGGATTGAAAATTGAATCCACTAACTAATGAATGGCGATTAAGCTGTAAAATGTCTGTTGAGATATGCAGATCTTTTCAATAGATGAGCACGGAAAGGAAAGAGAACTTAAGTTCAGTCATTTGCCAACTGAGACAGAGTGAAGAAGCACATGTCACCTGGAACGCAAACGGCCAGAGAAGTAGAAACTAAAATCACAAATTTCTCGAATGGTGCTTTACTCGATGTCCTTTTAAAAGTGACAGGGTTGTACCTCTGAGGACAATATGTGCTGAAACATCTGATACGGCTTATCTGTCTATCTGTGGTTTCCACAAGCTCTATTATCTCTCAATTTGTCAAAGAGTCCAAAGTGTAGTACTTCAACTTCACATTCCATTCCCAGATCGGACAGCAGCTCTCTCAAAAACTGGAAGGTATGCCAATGAAGCGTGAAGGACTGTGTCGGCTCATACTGTCTGCGATAGTACACATTTCTTTGGATTTCAAAACAATGCAAGCAGAAATATGCATGGTCCATCAGTGTACATTCACTGGAAATAAGAGGACACCATACTGTATAAGGAAAGAAGCAGGGAGAAACTCTTTATAGCAAATAGTTTATGATAAAAATTTCTTGAGCTATTCTGTATTACTTGCATCAACATTCTGGTAATCTCTGCATTGCTAGACCACGGGTGATGCTGTTAAGCTGATGACTATGCAAAACAAAAGGCTGGCAAGAAAACTGCTCGACTCACGATTGATCAGTTCCTATGTCGTCTCCCTCTTCAAACTATTCACCATTCTTTTCAGATTTGAAGAATGGAATGTGCGCAAGCTTCACCTGATACTTCAGACAACAGGAAGTATATTCCATACTGGAAAATAAATAAGGAATGTACATATATACGATGTATAAAAACAAATGTGACTAGGAAACATGGCACCTGCAACGTTGTGGAGGTAGTATCATACCATCTAAATAATTCAAGACTAAGAACCATTGTCCACTGTGCTCTTCCCAGAAGCACATTTTTTGTATCGAAGTGTATTAGTTAATGTTTAGATGCTAAGGCTGAAACACGTGTGTGAAAAAAACAACTCGAAATTGTATCAAATTCAGAACATGGAAAAATAGTTCCACACATATTTTTAGAAGCGAACCAGATGCGGGTACTTAACATACAGTTGAACCTCGATTTAGCGAAGTCACCGCGACTCCCTAATTATTTCGTTAAATCGGGAACTTCGTAAAGTCGAGAAAGAAATTCTTCGGGTTAGGCTGCGCGGGGAATCCCAATTTGTTCGTTAAATCGGGAAACTCGTAAAATCGGGTTTCGTTAAATTGAGGTTCAACTGTACATAAATTGAAAACATGTTTTTAACGCAACTATATTTGCGATTTATGTGCAGCCAATACCCTAATTTAAAGAGGAAAAAAGTGAACTATTTCTATGTGTTCCAAATATTGTGCGATATCCAGTTTCCTTTTTCACACGTGTGCTCCAGCTTTTATAGTTATGGTTAATAAAAATGTACATAACTACAAATGAAGTGCCTATAAATTTCAAACGACAGAACATACACAAGTCACGGAGACAGAGGCGAGAAAACATTACGGATGTCGGCACGTCCAACAAATTCCTGTAGAGCGCGCATCAATCTCTGTGTATTCCACAAGTGGAAGCATTCGTTCAGGTACTTTCCAGGTGACAACGATCTCCTGGAGTTTGAGTGGCAACAAAGGTTCAACAACAACAATACAACAATGCCACAGGCAATGAGGTTGCTGCTGGCACAACAACAAAGGTACCACATGATTTGCTTTAACATCCTCGAGACCGGATCACACATGCAGCGTAGCGCTAAATCATCACTAGGAACAGCGATGATGCAGCACTGACCTGATCGTAACTTAACACTACTGCAGCGTTTTATGAGTGCTCAACTAGTTAGTGCTGCCTCAGCAAGATCAGCGCTATTTCCAGCGCTGACTAACAGTGCTGTGGTGCATGTGTGAATGGGCTTTTACCCTAAAAAATGCAACATATATCACGGCCAAACAACGTGCCGAGATACTGAGAGAGAGGATGAGACGCGAGTGCGCAGGGACGTCAGAACGCCGAGCCTTGGTTCAGATGATGAGTGGGGGTAGATCTAAAGCTAGCTGTTTTCGTCTCCACCGCACTCGTCGAATGTGTTTGTTCCACGTTCTAACGTGTTCGACGAGTGCAATGGAGACAAAAACCGCTAGCTTTATGTCTACCCACTAATCATCCCAACCACAGCTCGGCGTTCTGAACTCCTAGCGCGCTCTCGGCTCCTCCTCTCCCTCAGCTTCTCGGCGCATAGCAATTTACTTGCAATAATTAGGTGCCCCAAATCCGTCGCAAATGAATTTGCTATTCCTCAGGTGCAGTTGCCAGTTCCTGAAAAACTCGCATTGTATTTCTAACTTTAGGTTTGTTCAGAGTCAAAAACAAAGCTATTTCTGTCGTTGATGGCAGAAGCTAGGTTTTGCTGCAAGAACTGCCTCACGTGTCGGCCTTCAGAGCCGAGTTCTTTATCTGTGAACGATCTGACTCGGCCATTGAAGGAATAAGGCAATTCCATGGTGGTGGTGCACCTCTTTCCCAAATGCTACTCTTTAGTGATGGCCTTTTATTAAAGATCAACTCGGCAGAGTTAATTGCCCCAGTATCCTCAAGAACGTATTTAAAAAGGTAAGGAAGTTATATCGGTTTCGTTCTAGCACGGCGTAATGAGTATTAGAAGTTTGAGTGCACTTTCTAACACCTGCAGAGAAAACAGCCGACATGAAGCTCGGTTCATGCTTCCTGTTGGCTTGTTGATGCATTTGAAAACTGCTTAATTTCAAGCGACCAATTGGCCTAGGGGAATGCATGCAGTCAGGAATGCATAGCGAAAATCATGCGACATCGGTGACATTCGCAAGAACAGAACCGACGGGAATGCTCTGCAACGTGCAGTACATGTCAGGTAATAAAGATACTTTCTATCTTCCTACAGCATGGCAATTTAAGAAAGAAAACGACAACTGGACTTCACTGCAAAACAAAGAAGCTGTCATCCTTGCAGTGTCGAAGAAGCAGACAAAGACCGTCTCTGGCCCGCAGAGTTCACTCCGACGATTCAATAGGAAACTGGCAGTGCACCAAAAATGCATCCGAAGATTTGGCACCAACAAAGAACATCATCCTGCAGTGGTGCTCAAGTTCTGCAGTTGTCCAACAATGCATTCAATGTTGCTCAGAAAGTTTTCCATTAAATGTCTTTTGGCATTGTGACTAGTATGGCATTCGGTTCTAGTTATTTCTTGTTTTTTTTCTCACAAACTCAGTGGAGTAAGTCGATGTTTCTATACTAGATGTCTAAAACCCAAAAGAAAAAGAAACCTCCTTGTCCAATGATTTTTAGACGTGACATGACATTTTCTTGACATGCTAGACCACCAGAAAAAAATAATTTTTATAGCCCTTCTGCTGGTTCTAAAACTTGACGAAATAAACAAGGAACCAAAATAATGCTAATTTTTATCGCCTCAGAAAGTAAAAAGCTGCTCTTCATTTATATCTTCGGTGGCAGTAATTAAATTACTTCGATTGCTGGCATAGTATACTCCAAGGCAGAAACCCCAGCTATGGTTCACAAGGCATGGCCTCAGAAAACAGAAAGCAGCCACCTTTGTCACAGACATTGGCATTTTGGAACAACTATGACCTCAACAAGATGCATGTAATAAAACATGCTTAATGGCATGCAGTAACACACACCTTCACAATGACTGGTGGTCTACATAGTGTTGCCTACCAGCTGATTGGTCCGGTCAACCAATTGAATTGATGCCCAGGGTAAACTTCGACACAAAACTGACATTTTTGCTAGGACAAGAAAACGTGAAAGATGCTCTTGAACAAGCCTATTAAAGCCACCAAAGCCGACCCCGGGGTGCTTCAATGCTAAAAACTATGCTCGCTAGAAATGTGGCGGGTTACTCTTAAAGTTCACACTAACAACAAGGTAATAAGCTTTAAAAATGCAAAAAGAATGAGAAGGACTTATAATTCAATATTTTATAAATGTTCCGAGGAAAAGCAAGATTCGGAATGCGGTACCAGCATTTGGATAAAGCACCCTGTGTCCAAGCATCAAGTATTTGGTTGTTCGAAACTAAACTCATAAAGTGCCGCGGGCAAGCTATGGGCTGGATCCACTGAATGAGGTACGCTTAGAACGTTGGCACTCCGTAAAGCAGGCGCAACTGGCGATTGTTAAGATTAAAAAACGTCACTTCCGGAGCCTCGGACATGGTGCCAGGGGGCTCGGGCGATAACGTTTTGCTCCGTCGCGGGCTGCTCCAACGTTTCTGGAGGACAGAAAACTGTTTCCTGCAATTTCAGGTAAAGCTTCGGACAATTAGCAACAATAATTTTAAGCACCGAGATCGCCGAACGGTGCTAAAATGCTAAATAAGCGACACTCTGAAGTGTAGCTTATTTAGCAACCCAACTCCAAGCCTTGTTGCATGACAGGGTTTATATCAACCCGATTTGGAGACATGGCAACGCCCTTCAGAATAGCAGCTGACCATCCTCAAAATGATCTCGAAGCCCCTGGAGTTTCGTGCTGGGGCATTTCGGTCGCAACGCCTCTGCGACCGCAATTTAAGAGCGAGCGCCTAAACAGCAATTGAAGCTGGGTTTAAAACCTTCCTGCAGAGAGGCATGCAATGCACCATGCCACAAGAACAACGAGCACACGAGAAAGGCCCTTCCCAGAGAAATTTCACCGGAGGTAAAAACAAATAACTGGAGACCTCGTCTATAAAGGGGGAATCAATGACAACAGACAACTTAATGCATCCAACAATAATGCACCTGGCGGAAGACCAAAAGGATACTTCAAACGCCAACAACAACTCCCCGCTGCCGTACCGCTTTCACTGTCCTGCATAATCGGTAAGAGGTTACATGCATGCTCTAGTTGCGGTATAGTCCAGTAATGCATGTTTATGTACATATAATCTGTAGATTTGTTAAGGTATTAAGTCATTTTCTTTTTCATTATAATTCTCCTATATACAATTATAAAACTATGGCAACAATTACTTAGTTTTTTTTTTCTTTCCCATAAATGGCAGTTTGACGATGGGATGCCTTAGACAGCCTGAAAGGGAAGGGGAGAGGGAGATGTTTGGGAAAGGGTGTGCAGCTACTAAAGGAGATAGAGAGTGAAAGGAGGTGGAGAGGTGGGAGACAAGGAGATTGCAAATGCTAGACACACCTACACTACGTACGACTTTTTTCGTCGCAATCTGCCGCTGCCTGCCACGGTGCGTCGACAGTCTCGACGCACACCGCTACCACGGGTGTTGGTCGAGGAAACGCTCCCAGAGGGAGATGCAAATTAGGTGCGTAAACAAACGGGGAACCAACACCACTACTTGTGCCGACGTTGCTTGTCCCGTACTAAGCGCCATCGAGAAAACCTTCCCACTGCACCCAACAAACACTAGCAGTTTAGTTCTAAGAAACAAAAATTTACACGCTGTTGTTACCATGAGCCTCCGAATAGCGGGGCAATGGAACAGTCTACAAAAACGGCGGGTCGCTCGATGACTAGTACCGAAAAAACGAACGGCCGAGAGACGAGTGAGTGCAGCGCGCTTCAAACTCTACCGACTTGAGCCTCTGAATTCCCCGCATTTCAACAGCAACAACAACGACAACAACTTTGGGGGCATGATGTGTTGAGAGACGTGAGCGTGCGTGCCGACAATAAATTCGTCAAAATGATCAACAAAAGAAAGAAAAAATACACAGAAACAATTATGCACGGCTGGGACGAGAAACCTTGCTCAAACTACTGGACTACAAAAAAGAATAAGGCTGCACAATCCACATCAACCTGGAGCCATTTTGGAAGGTGCAATGCCCGTTCGAGACGCCAACCCAGGGTAACCAAGAAAGTGCAACAATCGAACAGGAACGTAGGACTTACACCAATTGCGATTGTTAAAAAACGGTCTAGGCCCCGACGAGAGCTCAATGGAGGAAATGTCAATAAAGCAGTTGTTAATATCAAAACCCCTCGACAGTGAAAAGATGGCGTGCCGTTGTACTATCCCGAGGATGTTGATATCCTGCGGAGTGTTTCCCCTTGTTATGGTTACACGTATGTACAAACACCCACACACATGCACACACACACATGCATATGTATATACAAAAGACTTATGCTTCAAATGTGCCAGGTGCCCTAGTGGGGTAAATCTTACCACACGAAGCACCACGAAAAAAAAAAAATAATAAAAACGAGCGAAGAACCTTGACGCACTTGCCAAGCCGAGAAAAAAGCAGACGAGCGTAACCGACGAGCGTGACCACGAACTCGCATTCGGGCAACTGTCGAAAGGTATAGAAATATTGCCACAATCCAGGTAGTATGTGCAAAAGAGACTAGCAACTTCGCTCGAACGGCCAAGGGTGAGCGGTGGCAGTGAATTCTCTCGGCTTGCACGGTCACCTTTGCGAGAGAAGCCCCCGAACGCCGCAAAGTCGACGCCAACTCGAGACAACGGAGCCGGCACTCAAGACGGTGGCAGTGTTGCTCTGCACGGGGCTCGCCAACCGAACGGCTGCAGACGGGTCTGTCCAAAGGGTTCACAAAGGGGGCCTCAGTGGAGAAGTTTGAGCAGGAGGAGTGGTGCAAGAAGTGCAAGGCTTGGGTTCGGGAGAAACAGACCTCGGAGCAATGTTTCTCTCGCTTATACATGACTGGGGGGGGAGAGGAGGGGGGCTCGCGCGGCACAGGGGCAGCCCTGGAAGCGGCGACAATTAGAAGACATGGCAGTAGCATTAACGGTTCGCTTTAGCACCAATCCTTAATTAGGGGAACAACGAAAAAGATGCGTCGAGGAAAGCAATCAACATCAAGTCCCGAGAAAACGAGGTCATTCCTCCACAAACGCGGAAACCACTTCCGTGGGTGCCGACCCACGCGTGCCCGTGCGATCCGCGCGCAAATTGCTATTTCCAACATCAAACGAGAAAACCGAGGAAAGGGAAGGAAGACTAGGCAGTGAGCAGGAACAAACAAAAACCGCAACACCCCTAACGAAGGTCACACCTAAAAACTGTGACGTGGGCTTCTCAACAAAAGTGAGCACGTGGCCTGCGTGGCGGGGGCTCTCGTTGAGAGAGCCGTGCCTTCGAATGCACCGCCACGAAACAGTGTCGGCGCTCGGCCCACGGGCACACTCGGCGACTGACCGAAACGGCAGTTGCGAGCTTTGCAAACGGCCGTCCGACAAGGGGAACACGGGAAAACGTGCGGACCTCTTATCAAAAGTACCCCGGGTGTTCCATGATGCCATAGTACTGTCCGTTGTAGATGACCCCAATCTCCCTGAGCACTTCCCCACGCAGCGTGGCCTTGATAGTCCAGTTGTGGACGTCTGCACTCTCCCGCTCCCGCTCCAGCCGGTCGACGTCAACGATGCGCGAGCTCAGTCGCTCCAGGATGACTCCGATGTCCCGAACCGTGAGGTGCCGGTCCTGCTCCAGTGACAGCTGGTCGACCAGAAGCAGGTAGCGCTCCGACAGCTGCTCCTCCTCGCACGCCGTGTTGTCCGTGTCGGACTCCGAGTCGTCCGCCACCATGGCGGGGATGCGGGACTCCTCGGTGACCTCAAGGAAGCGGACGTGGCCCTTTGGGGTGGGCCCCGAGGGCGGTCTTTGGAGACCTGAGGGGCCTGGGAAGGGGCCCCGGGGAAACTCTTGGATGGGCGAGGTGGCCACCGACTTGTTTACTTGGATCTGGTGCGAGCCGTGCAGTGCGGCGCAGTGGAAGTCGCACTGGGTGTGGTTGTGGTCCGGACTGCCCGTCCCGCCTCCGTCCCTTGCCCCTTCCCTCCCGCCGGAGGCGCTCTCGCGGGAACTGGTCCGCGGGAGAGAGCGGTGCTCGGGCCGCGGTCCGAGGCCCTCCAGCGTCAGCCTGGTCCGCGTGCCCGCCCCGCCCGTCGCGATGGTCGCGCCTTGCGAAGCAGCGTCCTGCTCCGCCTGCGAGGCTTCCTGGGAGCTGACCTCGACGCGGAGGATCCCGCCCGGCTCGGAGCCCGGGCGCCGGTGGCACTTTTCATGCTGGTCCCAGTGGAGCACCACCGTGACGCGCCCCTTGTTGTCCATGATCTTCCACGAGGGCTGGAGGTCCATGAGCTCCAGGCTGGTGATGGCGTCGCACACGATGCGAGGTATTGCTGTGATGGCTGCGGCGGGGGAATCGGGTCTTACGGCGGGGCCCTTTGGTGCGGGATCCTTAGGCCCGCTCGAGGGGCCGAGTTTGTTTAGTTACGGGACCGTGCCGTGGCTCCAGAATCAGTGGCTACGTTATAAAAGTACTGTACAATTGAATCGAACAGGGGCAAGCAAGCCTGGCAGAGACTCGTTGCAAAAGTCAGTTGGCATTTTCTTTTCGAGGGCTAGATTACGAGCTACTCAACACATAAAGCCCTTGCAAAGGCTAATGCACACTGGCAGTACAGAGTTCGCGTGCATATACTTTATACATACATTATTCATATTTTTTGTCTTCTGGCGTGCTAACATCGGCCAACCAAAAAGATTGATTTGTTCGCTTCTTCCGGTTAAACAGACGCTATGGAATGCAGTACAGTGGGAACATTTAGCAACATCTGAAGACACCAGAGAGGACTCAATATGTTTTCTAAAATAGGCATGTTTGAGTGTGTGAGAACCTGATGCACTACCTTTCATAAAATTTTTTGGAGTATTCCTTTCTGAGAGAAGGTTAGCGAAACTTGGTGCAGTCAATACTAAGTGTCATCTTCCTTGTCACTTAGTTGTTTTAGAAAAGAGAAATGTTAGGCATGTCAGAATATTTAGAACTTTGTTATACGGATTCAAACATTGGTGCATTCAACCTGTCTTTCAAATTGACACAATAGCATGAAAACATTTTGAAAATTTCCAAGTATTTTTTTAAGTCACGATGGAATTGTTTTAGCTCTGTTGGATACACTTACACAATGGCATAGGGGCACCGTGGTGAAGTATACCGTTGGCGACATTAATTGTGTCGTGCATTTGTTTATACAGCAACAAGTTAGTGAGCTGTAATGATCATCTCATGTCTCTGCTGTAGATGAGAAATTCAGCCAGTGCAGTACCACTGCTGGCCTGGAGACAAGGACCCACACTTTTCTCAAGGAAGTCTATGTTCGACAGTTGGAAAAGAAATAGTAGCTTTGTTTTTGAGCACTATGAAAGTGTGCGAGATATCCCAGTGCCAACATGCTCCGCAAATGTGAGCAGTCACACTGTTTAAGTATAGTATGTGTAGTTTAGATTTACTGCTATATCTTTATTAACATACACACAAAATACTTGCAAATAATAAAGCTAAAAAAAACATTGCCTTTAGTACTCATGCAAGGCATGAGTAAATGAGCAAAAGAAATGTGCAAAGGCTGGTAGCTGTTTTATCAGTAGCACAAAATGTGACTGAAGATGAAGTTACCATCCTCAAAAGTTCCATCCAACTGAAATCGAGATTGGTAACCTGTAATATCGTAGTACAAAGAAATGGAATGTGTGGTGTTTGTTTGAACTCAACAAAAGGAAAAAAAGGGACAAAAAGAAGACAACAAAAGCCTTTATTATAAAATGCACATGCAAAAAAAGAAATTTAAAAACTTAAGCTACCCACAGATTTTCGTTTTTAGAAAACCAAACAAGTTTATTGAACATAAAACGTAAGCAATAGGGAGCTTGTACACAGATGCCATTACACAAAGATGTGTCACAACCATTATTCAATGCCCCGACCGCAGTGTTTTGGGGTGGAGCAAGCACGTCTGCATAACACCGTTTTAATAAAAAACATAAAAGTCTAAATCTCGGGTCATTGGCAACATAATCCCCGAAAAACTCCAGCGAACAAGGATGTTTCTCAGCTATATGCAAAGGCGGAGATGAGTCTTAGTACCTCTTGAGAATGCAGCAGTCCGCAAAACAGTCCCATGCTCACTGCACACACCGTACACTAGCACACTAGCCACGGCCGAAGTTCCAAACTCATTCAGTGCGGCGAGCTGGATTTACCATAATCTAATGCAAAAGGGCTGGATAAAGTAAATCCTGCCCTACACAAAAATCAAACGGGTAGATATTATTCTTGGAATGGAATGCTTGTAGGCTACTTAGTACATACACAAAGTTTCACAACTGTTAGAGCTCTAGTAATTGCAATATTCAATTTAGTAATGTTGATCATTTTTATCTGGTGACCAGGCAACACTGCCCAAGTTAGTATCACCAAGGTCATCCTAGTGATAGGGGGGAGAAATTAGCTTGGAAGGGTGGGAGGAATTGTAAGTTCCTCTATTTAGACTCGGTGGCACAAGCCACCACTTGTTACAAAGGGTACAGCCATTAACATTTACCCAACCATGGTGCCCATAAACCATGTGATCTTGATGTGTACTTTAACGCTTTCTCAATCTTGGGGCCCCCATGCTTGCCCAAGCATGAATGCATCCTCTCACGCTACTCTCGCTTTCGCCTCCTTGACCTTTCACCTGGCATGCACAAGCAAGGTCATCGTGGACAACAACGAGTCTGTCAGTGACGACCTCGTCGCCGCTGAAACTGGTCGCTAGCAGGTCCAGGTCAAAATGACCAGCTTCCAACATCTCTTGATAGCAATCACTCTCATCGCTGCTGCGATCACTGTCCAAGACTCCGACGAGAAGCGATGCCGTAGACATAATCACCTCGAAACCGTATGCTCGAAATGCAGAAGGTAAATGAGGAAGCGGAAGCGTGAGACGCCGAGAGAACCTTGTGTGCGAGTGCATGCAAGGGGACGCCGCGCGTTGAGCGAGTTATGTCGCTGGCCCATCAAACGTGGCGCTCGAATGGGGTGGATCCAAGGGTCCACGTATAAATCAATTTATTTACAAGACTATCGCATCATTCACAAAACAAACTTAGCAGAAATGTAGGGACATACAATGGGTCCCAGCAGTATAGTTATCTGATATATTATTTTTGGCGCGTCCTAATCCCTTGAAGTTGTGCTTTGTTTGCCGGTATGGCCGACATAATGAAAACAGGTTAACCAGACACTATTTTTTTCCCCTCCGGTTTTATTTTAAATGACCAGGGGGTTGATGGTTTGATCAGCCGCCACCAATCATATAATGTTTTAAAAAATTGGAGGGCGATCGCATGATGCATTTAGACAGCGGTATCCACGCTGCTTATTCAAAAACATGACGATGACGATCGTCATATCGTCGCCAGATTTTTCTCCCAAATTTAGTGGGGAAAGTGAATCGGCGCACAGATCACATGAAGTAAATTTTTCCAGCGGGGAACCTGAACTTGTCTGTAGGTCCCGTGACGCCAGGTCATGTGCCATTAATTGTCTAATTAAATTTAGCGGAGGAACTGAGTAGGAGCATAGGTTACATGACGTCGATATTTCCGCAGCGGGGAACCTGAATTTGTCTGTAGGACCTGTGATGTCAGGTAACCTGACATGAATTTTCCTGCCAAATTTAGAGGGGAAACTGAATGGGTGCATAGGTCATGTGATGTCAATTTTTCCATTCAATTTAGCGGGGAACCTAAATTCGTCTGTAGGTCCCGTGAGTCAGGTCACATGACATCAATCAATTTTCCCGCCAAATGTAGCGGGGAAACTGAATTGGTACACAGGTCACGGGATGTCAATTTTTCCGCTAAATTTAGAGGGGAAACTGAATTCACTTATGCTTACGTTGTCGTGCAACTGGGGGGACGAGCCCGTAACAGCTACTGCTGTATACGGAGCTTTTCTTATGTGGGGGCCTTTGAGATTTGGGCCTGACACTACAAAGGTCACATGTCTGTACCTCTTGTCAAGTAAGTCAAGTAAATACTGCCCTTCTTACAGTCCAACAACAGCCAAACTACTGCAAGTCATAGATCCCTGCTTTTCCCGGTCAAACAAGGCACACTTGTCGACCTACAGCTACAGAAATTGTTGAGCAATTAAATAATGTAAAAATAAATTACATCTAAAACAGCGCATCAATACATGTTTCACAGCTTGACAGAAAGTGCTACCCTTCAATGCGTCACCCTCACAACTCCTACCTATTGTTTACTTCTAGCAATGAAGTCTATCACAGGAGGGCACTACTGTACATTCGCAATGTGCTGTATACATGCCTAGCTTTTTGAGTATACCTCGAGATTTCTCTGTTTTATTATCATTGTTCTCCAGATGTACCTATTTCAATTTTGCCTTCTTCAAGAAAACTCATTGGTGTCTCATGTGTGCAATGAGCTGTGCAGTGTGAACTGCCATTTATACATGTATTTATTTGAAATTACTGTCAGCCCTCTATTAAGGGGCATTACAGACAGAACAGGCTACAAATAGGAAGGAAGGGAACATTCTTCCAAACTTCTAGTTCTCCAGAGTATGCTTTACTAAAATGCAGACTTAGCTGCTTAATACTTACAGTCCGTTTATAATCAAACTTACTTGCTTCGACTTGGACAAAATAGACAAGCGAAATGTCTCGCGTGTTCAAAGGCGACCACGAAAACAAGTCAGAAGGAACTAATGAACCGTGTAAACAATGTGGCTGGGTCGTCCACCCACCTGCTCTGAGTGCCTCCACTCCCGGCGGCAGCCACTTCTCGCTGGGCTGGAGCATGAGGAATACCGTGTCCCTCTCCGCACGCTGGAAGTAGTTCTCATCCTCCACTTCGGTTCCGTCTATCTCCAGGACAATCTTCAGGTCAAATGGGTTGCTGTACCCCAATTTCGCTGCCCCTGTCGCAGGCGAGAGAAAAACATACCTAATGTTAAGCTCTGCGAACGAGAAAAAAAGGGAGCTTCTCACAATACTGAAATTGGCATAAACTTGCACAACAGATAAAAAAAAAAGTGCTGACCACAGGTGCAAGCCCAAGAAGATGGGCAAAAACCCATACACTAGATCAACTGGATTCTCACAGATAACCGAAAGTAGAGATGAATGGGTGATATTGACTGGCTCTTCTTAATCGGTTGTAGAGTCTGCTTTACCTCGCCTAGACACGTTGAAACCACTTTATCCCTTGCTTTTCCAATTTCTTTGTCGTGCACGCTGCACTGCAGTAAACAGCAGTATGCAGATGTATTGCACATTGTGGAACACATCCATACAGAAGGCTAGGAAGACAGATCAAGTCAGCAAAGCTGACCAAGTGAGCTTCATGGTTAACTAGAGCGACTGCACCCCTAGCAATTGCTCCAGCTACTTGGTAGCCTGAGTTGCTGCCTAGACCCTGGAAACATCCTACATATCGGAGGATTTAATGACTAAATTTTATGTATATATAAAAAAAAAAAACTTTTATTTTGACAACTTTGGTAGGGGTACAAGCGGATCCTAGCATTGTTTCGAAATCCACGCCTGGGTAGCAAACAGAGGGTAGAAGAATGCAGGCCAAACTAAGGAAATTAATAAGACGCTGCAACGAAATTCTAGCATCTATTTTATTGCCTAAATGTCAACCATGTTCTGGGCACACCACAGAGACTCCAATTTTTTGCTCGAAAAGACGCCACAACATTATTTAAAAGGAATAAACCGAACGCTCGTCCGTCATTCTGAACTTAAAAGCAGTGCAGCCCTGTGGAAGTACGGCAGGAAGCTGCAAGCTCACGAGCCTTGTCAAAACGAATTTCCCTTTTCTCCCGGCCTATTCAGCTCCTGGGGGAAGAGGGGAGGGTCAACTAAAACGGCCAGGTTGTAACGCGTTGACCACACCAAGTTATGAAGCTTCTAACCACGCCAGCCCCCAAGCTGCTTTGCCCATGCTAGGTCAGTTGACGTCACGTCTCTCATGTTGCATCGCACTCTCCGATGGCTGATCTTCGAGCGCTTGTTGGGTTCAATCTTTTGGAACGAAAAATATAGCCATCCATTCAATAATAGAAGCATGCAATAGTCATTAGCTGGTAGAGTTGATCATGTTTAACTTATTTCTGAACGTGAGAGGTATATTTTAAGTTTCGATTCAGCATGCCTTTAATTCCCTCCCTTCCCTCCATCTCTCCTTCACCCCACCCTCCCTTGTCTCCATTAGATGATTTTAATCAATATCCAGAGATAAGTTCTCCTAGCCTGTTTTAAAGGGATACTACAACGAAATTTCGGCACTTATTTTTTTATTTATGTGTGTTCAAAGGAGCAGTATCACATCGCACACACCAATATCTTGTTAAAAAAAACATGAAAAGGAATTTCAAAACGAATTAAACGATTAGCAAAGAACACCTGGTGGATGTCGCCAACGCCTCGTTTGTAATGCCGTTCTAGGAACCTTGACAGACTGTGACGATAACTGTCTCGCCTCCAGCCACCACGTGAGAAGAGGGAGAGGAACTCCCCTCTCTCCGAGAATCTCTTTTGCGTGTTCCAGAAGTCTCTATTGTCCCTCTACAAGATTACAGAAGATTAACCCGTCATGTTATAACGTGACGGTATTACAAAAGCAGCCGCTTCGGTGGCTGGAACGACTAGGCCATCCTCTAAATGCCAGCCTCACCACAGCTTTGGTCGTCATGAGACAAACTAAGTCACGTGCTCTGTGCTGGCTGCTCTCCGAGTGCTTGCCAGAGTGGGCCGTTTTTAGCGAAAAATACAGCCACCAGGCTCAAAATACAAATGTGCAATTGTCATTTACAGATAGTGTGGATCATAATCAACCTATTTTTGAACACGAGTATATTTCAAATTTCGTCGAAGTATCCCTTTAAATAAAAACATTTCAATAACAACCCCTTTAATTTCATTCCCTGAAAAGAAAAAAAAAAAACGCCAAAGGCCCATTACAGGCTTTTCATACTTAAAAAGTTTTCTGCATAATTACAAGAAGCATTTTTTAAATAAATTTTTAGATGAGTATATTTTGTCAAAGGACCCTTTTTGAGACCTACTAATAATAATATTAAAAAGCATGTTTGCATCATTATTTTCACAACTTGAACAATTCCACAAAAATCATCCGACTGTGATCACGCAGAGGTGCGAGTCGATTGTGTAAAACACTGTCCAGAAGCAGAGAGCGCAAGTTAGCAGATGCATCCACCAGGGCTGCAAGATGGACAGATGCATTACAGCCGAACCTTTTTAATTTTGCGGCAGCCTGCCCCTTCTAGTCAGCATTTTTAATACGAACAGTCAACTTCCCTTCGACATACAAAACTGCGACCGAAGCCAGCAGCCTCCTAATCTAGAAAAGCTCTAGCGCACTTGAATTTTAATACTGTCGCACTACGACCGAGTGCCAACGCAGGTTGGACAAAGTTGCTACATTGGCATATGGCTGGGACATGAGTTAGATTACGCCGAGCTTGGCTCGGCTTGGCTTGGCATTGGGCTCGCGCTGAATCGCCACGTCCGTGCCAACGTCTCACGAACAGACGAAGAAACAGACGGTTCCCGCTGAGTTTAGGTCATGTCACTAAAGGTGCAGGCTCAGTCGTGCGTTACACAAAACTGTGCCTGAGCTATTCTTTTGTCTTCAAAGTTTGGCTGTGTCACCGCGGCAGTTTCCAGCTACTTTCTGCTGTGAGGGGGCGGCCCCATCAGTGCTACATTCATCGTGTATGTTTCACTAATTTCTGACACTCCAATCTTAAAATGCACGACTGCATTGGGAGCTTTACGAGCACACCACCTACGGGTACCCATAGCTCCCTGCATGCCTGATGTTCACTTTACTGTCCCTTGGCAGTAAGTTCAGAACTACTAAGTAAATAATAGTTGCAATCTTGCCCCCCTGGGATCATTTATGTAACTTGGCTTTAAGTGGATATTGCAGGACTGACCGCCCGGAGCTGCCCAAATGTAATTGTACATCTCTTCTCTTCTGTGCGTGCCAAAAAGATGCGACCACTATGCTGGAAAGGGTGCTTTTAGCTCAGCCAACCGTTTGACAGAGAGTAAAGGAAGTGAGATTACTTACCTTTTGTTCGAAGCTCGTCTAGGCAAGAAGCCACCACGCATTTTCTCGTTTGTCGATCACAGCTCCACACTTTGTGGGGTTTCCCTGCCGAATCCTGGGGAAGATCAATGAATCGCATTATTTTTATTCACTCGCACGAGTCATACCACAAAGATAAGCGAGAGATATTTTCTACACGACGGTCTGAATATCCCCGACGAGGGCAGGGACCATCGAGCGCTATCGAACACGTAAACTTGGAGCAAGGTTAAACGCAAGCGATCAAAGCTTTAACTGTTTCACTGGCGACAAAAAACGTGGTTATTCTTTCCTTCCGCGCGTCATATTGTGCACGTTTCGCATATCCCTCACGCCGAAACAACTAAATTAACGAGACGAACGCGATCTATTCGAAAATTTGGTGCTGGCTGTGCGTGTTGTTGTGTATGCGCGATTTTTTTTTTTTTTTTTTCCTTCCTTTGCGGATGACCCAGAGAGCGACCGCTGTGGAGATTCAAGTCACCGATCTCCTCAGCGTCGGTTTTGTAGGCTCGAATCCGTCTTCCGTCGGTCAGCCCGGACAAAACCTGCGTCCGAAAATCGTCCCTGGTCTCGCATTTGGACAGAAATTATCGGGACTGAGGCCTAACGTGGTCCCGTTTGACATCTGTCGACTTTATTTTGTTATGGAGCTAGCCAGTACGGCAGTGTCAAAGCGAGCAGCTTACCTCCGTGGTCATGATAGTAAAGTTGAAAGGCTAATTTTGGCCATGCACATTCTTCCTCCAGTGTTCTTTCGCCATTTCGGCGGGAACCGAGGTGTTCTTGAGCGGAGCAGCTCGACGGTTACCGACACACGACGGCAACGACGGTCCCTGCGTCCCTGGACTCCACTCCACCACTTCACTGTGCTCTCTCACCTCCCGTCGTACGCGGCGAATTCGCGCATCCAGGGAATACGAAACTGTTACCATGTCGGTTTTTTTCTGACCATACTAATATATTTAGTAGGAACTAAATATTTAGTTGTAGATATTTATAATAATTCTATGCCTCCTGCTTGCCTTCTCATTGTGTTCTCAACGAGTATAATATTCAAGACATCGTTTTCTCGGTTTTCTATATATAACGACTTAGACAAGAAGCTCCAAACAAGTAGCTATCAATCCACTCCAATTCAATCCATTTGTCTTGACGACTACTTTCGTGTTTTTTCCTCGAGCTTATGCGCATCTACAGTGCTCGCAGTGTAGATTTCGTTTAATTACATCAGAAACTGGCGTGATAATGAACTACGTAGTACTGTGCGACACGTGCGATAGTGCTTAAGTTGGCGAACTCTCTGAAAATAAAACGCAAACAGAAAAGAACGCGAAAGATGGAAGCGGACACTACGGGCTCTGCATCGACTATTTTGGAACCACCGGAAAGCCGTGTAAGTGAATTATAATTAGTCGTCATAGTTTAGGCGAAGTCATCTTCAGACGCTGTAGCCTGACAGTCGTTTCTAGGCAAAAATGAATGGAGCAGTGAGCGATTACGACGAAGAAGTAATGTGCTACTGTTCGTCACAGGAAGTGAGCAAGAGTACGTGCAATCCAGGAACGACAGAAGAGTCTGCCACTGTTCAACCCACGCAGCAAAGTGAGCCTGTGCAGCCTCCGAGAGATGCACTTGTGAGTACAGGTTATGTTACCAGTGGAATGGCTTTGTATTCAAATTAAGCATGAGCTGATGACCACAGTTTTTACCTTTTTTTTTTTTTTTTTTCTCTCTTGCAGGTATCTACTGCAATCCACTTCCTCGAGAATCCCCGCGTGCAAGCTAGTCCGCTGTCTCAGAAACGAGCATTCCTGCTCAAAAAAGGTATGTAATGCGTCGCTTGTGTGAAATAAAAACGTTCATTGCGTCTTCCAGCCAAAAAAAAAAGTAGCTGTGTTAAGCTGTTGATTAAAAATCCTGAGACTGGGACGACTGAAGGTAGAGTGAGTAGGCAGACGAACTGGTTGATGTTACACATTTTTTAAAAACTGGAGGCGACGTACAATGAAAAAGGGGACAACACACAAAACGAGAAGGGACGAACAAACACACAGTCTCAAAAACAGCTGAAATTTATTCAACAACGAAAGGGATTATGTAGGCAACAAATCCTACACAAAACACGAGACGAAAAAGAGAGAGAGAAAGAAATGAGAATCCTGTGCCAGAAGCAGTACAACAAAGCAACCTTTACAATATACTGAAAGCAGTGACCTCCTTTATACAATAAAATCCCCAGTCTCAAGGTTTTTAGTAAAATGTTTAACCACGACCAGCTTTTTCACCCTCTAACCTTTTGTTAGCTGTGTTAGTTATTCAGCATCTTTGCAACCTTCCCCCTTACCCTAAAAAAGAAAAAAAGAAGTTATGTTGGTCATTTAATGCCTATGCAACCCTAAAAACCAAAGTAGCTCTGTTAGTCATTCAATGCCTATGCTACACTCAAAAACAGAGTCTCTGCACAATTGAAAACAAAGTAGTTGTGTTGTTTTGACAGAAGTCAGCAACGAGCAGAACATTAGAAAAGAAATGCAAGTATGGTTGGGACAAGACGATACTATGTAGCCTGTGTTGGTAGTGTGCCAAAGGCAGCAAAATATTGCTCCATGGGCCAGTCCGAGCCGCTGTTTGCTGACCCCTGTTGCGGAGCAAGGTTTGTGGAGGATTAGCATACATTTGTTTGCAATAAGAGAGTCCTTTGGCCTGCTGTTGCAGCAGCTGTGAGCAAAAAAAAAAAAAAATATAGCCTTAGGGGGACATGGAGTTGAAAGGACCAAATGATGTACAATCCTTGCCATAATTTTTGTTTTGATTTTTTGTCAGTGTAAAGTATTTTGTAACAACCTGTTCCTCTGTAGAGGTTCATTTCTGAAAAAAAAAAGGTCCTCCTAGCTCCCCGAAGCACAGAATGTAATATTGTGTGCCAGTGCACACCTGAGCTCAAAAGAGGCGTTGCTCATTGTCACAGTGGAAGCCGATCAAGCCATGCTCTAGCAGGTCTGATCCGCAGGAGAAAGGGGTCATCTGCACGGTCGTAGCAAGATGGCTTCCACATCGTGTAATGCAGATGAGCACTTTCTGCTTCAGACCATTTTTATAGCGGTGGAAGTTTCAAGGATTGGCCACATGGGCTTGTTGAATAGCCATTTCCAGAGTGACCTTGCGGCAATAGAAATTGTGGGGCTGTTCCAATATACTCTTGTGCCGACTTTAATTCTTTGTATATCCTTGAAGAGGCACGAATCATTCTCTTTTATAATTGGAGCTTAGAACACATAAAAAGCAAAGCAAACACAAAAGGAGGTCATCACATACTGTTTTGCTTTCCTTCTGCCTTCTCTGCAAGCTGAAAGTACAAAATGTTAAACCAGCGTAAACTTCGTTTCAGCTCCTGGATAAACTCGCATGCTGTACATCTGAATGTCACAATATGTCAAGCAGCCGGTGGGGGAGTTACATATTCCTGGAAAGGTCTATTAGGCATATATTTTCCTGTCTACAAATGCGGGCAACTACTGCGCACTGATTTATTAAAATGAAAAAAAAAAAAAAAAAAAAACAGCAAGGAAAAAGCTCTTTCTTTATATTGGATGGAGGAAAAACAAAAACATGAAAACCCAGAAACACGACGGCTGAGAGGGCTAACAAAGTTAGAGAACCCATTTAGCAGTTACTGTCGATAAGTGTAAGCTCGATTGTCCGAAGTTCGCATCAGCTTGTTTTCACTTCCTTCGTGACCTCAAGATTTGTGTATGAAATTTGATTGCTTTCTAGATGCTTATACTTTTTGGTGCTGCCGCAATTCATCAATATAATATTGTGATTGTCCCTTTATCTTTCTTGAGCTTTCTTTTTTGTCTGCACACATACGTCCACCGCAGTCAAAGTTGGCAACTTGCTTTTCTTGCACCTCGTCAGCTTATGTTTTCTCTGAACCACGTTCTCCCCACAGGATTGACGAATGAAGAAATCGACAGCGCCATTGAGCGGTCCCGGGCTGCTCCGGTTGCCAACGTCAGCGGCGTTTCCGGCCCTTTTCCCCCTCCTCTCCCGCCTCCTGTCCCCATGGGAATGCTTCCACACGCCTTGCAACCACCAGGTAAACATACCATAGAAAAACTGTCCCCGAAGAAATTTGGGTTACAGGTGAAGTCCCTCGATCAAATTCATGCTTCACGTTTCTCCCAAATACCGACAACCATTGTTGTGCAAACGTGTGAGACATGTGCCACGACGGGGTGCTCTGCCACCTTTTGCTTCTAAGGGCTGCAGAGGCATAGTCCTCAATCATTGGTGCATTTGTTGCTACTGTCGAGACCGGTTATAACGAAGTCAACGGGAATCGGAAATCACTTCGCTATATCCTTTTCTTCGTTATATCTGGACTCATAAAAGCAAACCCCCCCCCCCCCCCCCCATGAAAAAAAAAAACAACATGGACTTTTATGGGCACATGTTTATCGTGCCTGCAGAAAGTGATCGAGGCTTCCTTGCGCGCTCTCTGCTAGATCGGAGCTGCTTCTTGCCAACTCCAAGAAGCTTCGATCGAGAAAAGATCTTGCGAGCTATGTACGGACCGTGTAGACAGCTGCGACAGCCGCTGCGGAGAACGCCGTCAGTGGACAGCATTCTTTACATTTGTGCTCTCTTTGATGCGGATGACACGCTTTTGTTTCAAGGAGATTGCCTTTGGCTTCCCCACTGAGGTGCCGGGGGTCATGTGGTTTGTGGGCCGCGTTTGCAAAACGAGTTACAGCCTGCAAGGAGTCAAAACTCAAAAGCGTTCACCTTCTGCAAACGCGTTTGCCTCTCCGCCCAGTTTTCTCGCCACACTGGCCACACGATGACCAAATGCAGCCATACTTAATGCAGCCATTGGAGGCGTCTGCCATTATATTGCAAATGCTCTCAATGGTTGGAGTTGTTTCCTATCTTAAATATAGGCTCTCTCCGTCATGTCTGCCGGTGCATTGTTGCTATAGCGCCCCGAACGCCCCTGTCAGCATGCGTGACGGCTTCAATGCATGCGATGCGGAAAAGCCGCTTCACAGATGAGGAGGGAAGAGCGGACGACGATGGTAGAGGCTGTCGCCGGCGGTATTTGCAGCATTGTCTGCGGCCCTTTCTGGGTGGCTGCTCGGCTGCGGCAGCAAAGAGCGGTGGTCTGAGACTTAGTAAACTTCCCAAATTTTATTATTATTTTTTTTTTAATTATTGCAAAATTTCTTTTTGCTACGTGTATCCATGGGAGCCGCTCAGTTTCCTTTGCTAAAAACAGACTTAAATGTATTGAAAAAGTGCAAAAGGGAATGGGGAATCGTGATCGCTTCGCTGGAGCCGCCGTTTCGTTATAACCGACTTCGTTATAACCGGTCTCGACAGTACTTGCAATAGAAGCGCAAACACTTTCCAATGGTTACGGGGGGCACCTTTGTGTGGTTGGTGATAGCATAAACAATGGCACGCGAGCACCGGCCGACTGGATCATACGCGATACCTGCCAATTACCCCTAGAAGAAGCGTAGAGAGGCTGAGTGCATGCACAGAATGTAGTTATGTGAACATTAGCATGGACAAATAGTGCAGTTGCAAGTCCTTTACAATTGCTATCTTTCTTAACCTGTCTTTGGAAGCAGTAGCACGTCCCTGGACTCCTCTTGCCACCAATTCCGAACCTCGAAGGTCTTTGAGGCTTTGCAGCCGAGATGAGCCCTGGTGCAAAATACATAGTGGAATGTAAATAATGCTACTATTATGACAACATATTAAAACAGTGCACCAGCAGAGAAGACGTAGGACAGAGCTCTATCCTACGTCTGCTCTTCCCTTCTTCTCTATATCCTTCACTTCTCTTCTCTGATTTTGCGCTGTTTTAGCAGGTTGTCAGTTTACCAGTTGGCTCAACTGACCACAGCACTATTATGGCTTTAGAAGGCCTACTAGGCATGTCAGTGCTATACAGTTCATATCCTATGAGCTTTATTGTCACGTGTCCACTCTTCGACCGACCTGTCACATTATAAATTGAAAACTGTTGGAAACTAATTGAATTTTGCTTTGGCATCCTATGCTATTCACAGAACATTACTTTTGGCTTAGTGTTTGTGCACCACACTAGCCCTAAAGTGTCACTCTGCTATTGAAATGTGTAGAAGCCTTGGGAGGGGAAAACTGGACTTTAGGAGTTAATACAATTCGAAGTTTGCATTCTTCAAGTGCAAAGTAGTGCGTCTTCCTTTGCTGGTACCTCTCTATCGCAGTGCAGCGCATAATTTGCGGCAATAAATCGTTGTTCCTTTCAGGGTGCCACGTGAACCTGCATTTTTTGTCTTTCTCTTCTTATAAATGTCAGTGCGTTTAAGACTACTGAGGCACGACGTGATGCGGTTAGCACAAATGCTCGGGGAAGGTATGTTCTTTGGACGTGGCAGACTTCTCATAGCCGTGCAGCCAGTCGCCGACCAGTTCAGGGTGGCAGAGAGGAGTTTCGTTTGACCCGCCTCCAGCTCGAGCAAGCTTCCTCCTACCTTTGACAACACTTCGACGCATCATGCATCTCGAGCACGCATACGCAGCCAAGGCGCGGCAGAAGGCACAAAGCACGTGCTGGAGGCCGGGCATTCAAAAGACGCGCCCTGCCGTTCTCATTCTGTCTGAGAATATAATAGCGCTATTTCGTTACGGCTGGTAAGCATGTGTCTTTTCCAAGCTCCCGAGAAGTTAGTGTGCCTGGGGGGGCGTCTGATATCTCCTGTGTAAGTGAGAAATCTAGAAAGCGGAGTAGAGCCGCTAGCCCGGTGTCTTAGGTGTGCGTGACACAGTAGCGATACTCGAAGATACCTGAGTACGGCACTCATTCGTATCAAAACGGGCAGGGGTGGGGACCGAACCCAGGATTCCCGGGTTCTGCAGCATGAGCTTTTGCTCCACGTGTTCCGAGCTGCGATGCACCAATGCGCTCGGCCATACTAGTTAAGTTTATGGAATTTGCTGCACGAATCTAATCTCCGCCTTTTTTTGCATGTGTGCCCGCATTCGTGGGAGGGAGGGTGACCTGCATAGAGGCACTGTGCGGGAAGGGGCATGGGCATGTCAGTACTCAAGCTGATCTTTGTTGCGGTAGTCATGCAAAAATCTTCTGTGTTTGCAGAGCTGTCCATGTGGACTTACATGAGGCACGTCTCTTCTTCCGTGGTGCTCATCGGAGTGGCCTGCTATGGAGCCTATTACCTCTACAAGGTGTGTTTTGTGCTGCGTGCTGGAAGTATTGTTCAGTCTGAAGCAGTGGCCCCTGTTAGGGTACTGTCGTCGGCATTGGGGGGTGCATGGCCACAATGGTGACTGGCACGTACAGTGTATCACACTGTTTGCATGAATGGATCATCGCCGGACTTTCTCATTTTTTTCTTGGGGCTGAAAAGCTCTCATCACCACTGTTGTGTAGTAGAATGCACTTATGGGCTGCAGCAACTTAGGCAGCAAAACTGTGTGCTTGACACTGACCTGTATGAGTAAAATGTAAAAAAAGTGGCTGTGCAATGTTGGTACTAAACGTCATGCAGTATACTGGCTCTGCCATCTGACGGATGCTGAAAATAACTGATGGTACCTTCAGTATCTTGAAATTGAACCAGTCTTGACACTTTTGATGCTTTCTCAATTGTCTCCAGTACTCATTAAAAAGCGAAGTCAGTCCATGCCATTTTCTGCTGCAAATGCATGGCAATATTTTTCAAGAGGGGTGGGGGGGGCTAGGCAAGTCTTATTTTTTTTTTGTGGGGGGGGGGGGGGGGGGGGGGGTATGAGTTTTTTTTTTTAGACTAGAGCAACCCTCGAATTATGTGGCAAAAGCCTCGCTGTGGCAAGCCACGATTACAGGCTCTATAATGTCATATTAAGATGGGGGTCCTTTGGTCGTATTATTCTGCTTTCATCGATGCAAATAAGAGTGAAGTGCAAGACACATGCGCGGCACGTGCAAACCATCGGAGAAATGGCTGCTTTGACTCGCCAAACATGACAGTTCGAGACACATGCTTCTGACGCGTCATTTCGTTCAGCTTCGCCCAGTTCTGGCATCCCTGCAAGGAGGCTATACCTCTGAATGAATAGATGGATGCTGGCCGTACCCTTTGTAACTGGCGGTAGCTCGCGCCACCTAGCCTAGGAACCAAAAAGAATATTCCTCCCCTTGCCCTTCTAATGTTACTAATTCCTCTTGATCGTAGGTTTTCCGGCTTTAAAATGAATAACTCCATTAAAGTGCGTGTGTCTTTGAAGATTTTACATAAGTTTAATTTTTTGCTCAACATTCGCTTAATCACGATGGACCGAAGCGGACCTTAGGAGCCATCCCAGCTAAGCGAGCACTGCATACAAATCGTGAACACGCACCCCGCGCATTGCTGCGTCTCTTCCGAAGGCCACGTGACACTCGCGTGGCATTGGAATGGCTCTTGGTGTCCGCTGCTTGCTGTCCATCGCGAGGTGAACGGAGTACATTTGGGTCTCGACAGCCTCAATCGTTGGTCCCAGAAGACTGGCTTGCTACGAATGCGCCAAATCGGCCGCTTGTTTCCTGCGTGGGGGAAATCTTTGTGGCGTTCATTGCCTTCGTGGTGATGACTCGTGCGATGCACCACTCGCATCCGCTTCCGTGGTCCGGCATTTCCTCTCCCGATCAGGCCGATTAATGTGTGACAATGCAACGTTTGTGCCGTTCGTGCCGCCGTCAACTGCGGCCCTGTGGTGAATATCTGGCAAATCGGTTGCGTGCCTGAGCCGGACGACGCCCTGTCGTTCCGACATTTCGTACGTCGGATCAAACAGTTCTTAAGTGCGCGTGTCTCGCGCTTGACCTCAGATTGCCAACTTCGATGGCGTTAGTTCGATGAACACGACGAATTTGAGCTTTCGTCGTGCTTGTTACACATACCATCGAGCATGTTCACATTTGATAATCCTAGTCGTGTAGCCACCCCGTTCATCTGTCGCACAAAAAACGTTGTGTTCGCTGCAAACATGAGGACAAAATTATCTGCGGGCACGCCTCAAGCACACTTGAAGCGTGCTTTCTTCACACATACGCATACTTTGAACATGACTGCAGACGATTTTTGTATATGTCCAATGTGGCAGGATCGTCATACAAGAAATAAACATGCCTCAGACTGGGTCTGAAGACTGTCTTTTGTAAGGCCTACTAGCAGTGTGACCAGAGTGTCTGTTACCGAAACACCTTGTCGTCAATACCCCCGAAATCCCAAAAGGGGGGCAGGTGCACCCCTTGCACCCACTTTCAGAAGCCCGTGCATGCAGCTTGTAATGCTGAAGATAGTGCATAATGAACTAAGGACAGCGTGTTCAAGTCCATGGGCTCAACTGGCTCCAGCACATGCTCTCCATTCACTCGTGTGGAGCCTGGTTAATATACGTCCACTGAGTTTATATTCATCTACCATGTCAGCAACTTCTTGGTACCTGGTTTAGCACCTAAAAAAATATATATTTGAGTTCCAACTTTCTACCATATTTTGCAAAAAATAATGGCGAGCATATTTCTGCTTTCCCGTAGATTATGTGGTGTGTCAATCAGTCCAGTTTATGGAAGAAGCAACATTGAGGGGTGAGGTCAAGAATGTGTTTAGGAATCTGGCCCGAGAGGTTGAGGGCTTTCTATGCTTGCACTGACAGAATCATTTTTATACTAGTAAACATCCTGATCACATTCTTTCCATAAATGGCAATGACGGGCACGTTTAGTGCTCTGTAGAAAAACTGGCGTATGAACAAGTTTCATTGAAAGGTGGGCCTGTATCAGCAAGAAGCAATAAATACCTGACCGCTGGGAACTGCTCGAGGAACTTGAAGTGCTGACTTAGGCACCGCGGTCGATTACGTAAGGATGTCATTGCAGTGCCATTTGTGCCACACCGTACCAAAATGCTTACCTGCTGTGTCTTGCTCCTTTTACTAAAACTGTGAGGCATTTGTGCCAATATTGTGCCAAAAGTTAATTTTACTTTATAAATACTGAAACTAATAGCTCGGATGCTAATAGTTTGGATTCTCCTCACATTATGGGGTCATTACAATTAGCTAGTTTATAGGAAAATTTTAGGCCTTTGAACATCACTTTTAGTAATGCACTATTTGACTTGATGTTTGCATTGAACACTGACAGTACTCGGAAGTTATGCAATATTCCAGTGGCTTAGCCAGTGGGCTCGTGGTGCTTCAGCTCTCCCTTTAAAATCCAGCCGACCCTGTAATTTTACCCCACAACTCCCCTCCCTTGCCCACCACAGCCCCAGTCATGTACAACCCAAATTCGCCCCCCCCCCCCCCCACCTCCCCCACTTCCCAGGAAAGAATTCCTGGCTACAATACTACAATGGACCTTATTGATCGTAATTTATTTGGGTGAGCTTTTTAGCCCCATTGAGTGTGTCTCTTACCTCACACCGTTTCACTGCAGAGAAGCAACACCCTCCGTGCGGAGACTACTTTACTTCACCCCTGGGCGCAGCTGATGTGACGGTACCAATCGCACAGCATCACAAGTGCACGAACATGGTGTTTGTCATGTTTCTCTTTGTATTCTGTCATTGCTGGACCAACCATGAACAGGGAAGGCACAGTGACTCACGCTTTTGACAATGATTGGTCCCATCAGCTCGTTGCGTCGGCTGCGTCCGAACTTAAGATGAAACAAAGTATAGGAAACTTCTTCCGGAGTCCCTGTAGGGGTTTGTTGATGCTATTGTTGTTATCCCAAGCTTCAAGAACCAAAGTTTTGTGCCTGCCTTGTTTTTTAGAGATTCCTCGAGCCATACCTGAGGGGCGAGGAGCTGTCCAAGGAGCAGAACCGCCTGGTGCAAGTCCAGGAGCAGTTGGATGCCCTGACGTCGGCCATCGGCCAGTTGCGGGAGGCCGTTGCTTCGCTCGAGAGCTCCGTTGGCGAGGACAGGCGGAACCGTGGTCGTACCGTGAGTGGGCCTCTGTCGAGCCACTTCATATGCACAGAGATAGTAGTCACAGACTGGCATGACCCTCCTGGTCATGCCAGTCTGTTACAATACCACGGAAACTTTTATAGCTTGCCTACAAAATTATTTGTTTTATAAGGGAAAGTTTATTTGAATTGGGCGACGCACTACCACAGTTGGAAAGTCTCAAAATTTCCCATAGAAAATGCATCTGGTACATATACCAATATCTGACGCACCCTCTCAAACAATCTCTTGCAGGAAACGCTGGATGCATCCAAACAAGACAGCACCTTGTCCGATCTCAAGTCTGAGGTTCTCTCCGTGAAAGCGTTGCTGCTCAGCCGGTGAGTTTGCTTCTATTCTCGAGTTATTTTGCTTCCGAGGAAGGCAGGTTGCTTTGAACGGAAGAAAGACTGTGAGTCTCCCGTGTGCAGGAACCAGTTTCCGAGCACGCCAAAGGTAACCCCCCTCGCGGTCACCATTCCTGCCTGGCAGCTCTCCGCCGGCGGCGACTCCAAAAAAGAAAACGGAACTGCTGTGAGTTGTCCTTCTGCTTTTGCAAAATGCTTAATTAAGGCCCGTTCACACGCTACTCCTTAGGACCAAGTGCCTTATTAAAAGAAAACAAAAAATCATATTATTTTTGAATTTGTTGATTTTTGGTCTTTGCTCGCTTTATTATCCTCGGACATCCCACTTTTACAAGTGTATCAAAACAATGTTCGGTCAAGTGGTTAGAAAATAATATATCCTACTGACACTCGGTGACCCGGAGGATCACAAGTTTATGTGAATGTCGGCAATCCTCGAGAGGCTGTCGCTCGGGACAACAGAACTTTCTATGTTTTTCTGATTCGATTTGTGATAGACAACACTGAAACACTGTGCAGACGTAAACAGAGAATGTTGTCGGAGAAATGTTTAGCGCGGCCTGCTAAGCCTGACCGCGGTAACCGCGACCGTTCCGACGCAGTCGATGCTGTCTTCACGTTTGTCAGCACTACATAAGAAAAGATGGCGTCTTTCGCAAAAAAACACAAAACACGTGGCTGTGGCCCTGTGAGTTTAGTGATACGCGACATTGGTGTGCCGACGATACTTGTGAGCGGCGCAACCGGCCCCGCTTGCCACGAGTGCAGATTCTCTATGCATTCGGGAGTCGGGCGGAAGCACGAGGCATTTTTGTCGTTCCTCAAACTACATTAGGAAGAGCGAGTGCCCCTAGGGTTCTTTCTTTCGACGGTTTCGTTGAAACATGCTTGATGAGATGGAGACATGCAAGCGCAAAGCGAAGCTATTGCGCGAGTTTCTCCGTCGACTTGAGAGCCGTAAGCTTCAACGCTCCCGCTCAATTCTCGGCCTGCTAGCACCGGTGCACCACGAGACATTCTCTAGCAGAAAGTTTGTGCCTCTGTCAAAAACTGCCAACCAAAACCTTGTGATGACTGAAATGCTGACGGGGGGGGGGGGGGGGGGGAACAGTTAATGTAGCCGATGACTGACTGCACGTGGTGTAAGAGTAGTGATAAAAGTCGCAGCATACTGTGGGACTATTTTATCGACTCTAGATGTTTCCTGGACACCCTACTTAATGTCTTACCACATTTTATGTAATTACGGGAGATATTTGAGGAGCACACATCTTTTAAACTTTCAAATGCATTTTTCTTGCTTTGCAACTTGGGGTTGTCTTCACAGTTTGTGCACTCAGTTTTGGGTACTTAAAATCTTTGAATTGTAATTAAAAACAAAAGATGTTCCGTAATGTCCTGAGAGATGACCCACTCACGAAAGATAGCCCACCCCTATTTTTGGCTTGATTCGCTATATTTAGTACTGCCCACTCTTAGCAATCGTATGGTTTTCAGATCTATGATGACATCTGCTCAAATGTGGCTAGTTAGCGATGACGTGATATAAGCCAACATTACTGATTGAAAAGCAGTTCTATATCCTTGCTTCATTGCCCCTCGCCACAGTAACAAGTTTGCCAGGGACACATGACCTCAAAATACCATTTTTTAAGCTTTTCTTGATTGCACACAGAAAGTAAGCCCACTTCTTATTTTCACCCAATTTGCTATCGATATTAAATGGGCTATCTCAGGATATTACTATCTGAAGATATATAACGTGCCACTATCTATTGGAAACTGCAATATATTAATTAAGTTTTACAAACTTTAACAAAATTCTAGAGGGCTTCTAAAAAGAAGGCTTTATAACATCTTCGTTTTTCTTTTCTAAATTAAAAGTTTTATATGTAGCTTTTGGCCAGATACTCGCAGTGTCCACCTCATGGGCTGCAAAATGAGCCATTGCACTGTGCTTCTTAAAAGAAATCAGTGTGCCTGGGCGTTTGCACCAAAAAACCTTTCTATGTAATTGTTTGTTTTTAAAAGAGAAGATGAAACTTGATAATTAGCAGAAGTTTCATTATCCTAGGGCAAATATTAGAAAAAGGAAGCGTCTCCGACCTGCATCTCTTTTTAAAACGTGTTGAGACGAGAGAACACATTGGCACGCTGACTCCTGTGGTGACCCTGGAGCTACATTTTACCAGAGCGAAGGTTTTGTGGTATTTGCGAGGTCAAATGTACATACTTACTACCTATGAGGAATGGGTGTATATAACATTGACAAAGTTTTTCGAGCCAAAAAGAATGATTGATTGGGAGGAGAAAAATGGGACCGTCAGATGTTCCCCGGCTACCTGATAGGTTGCACCGGTGTGCTTTCTCGTAGGAGATTTAAGAGGTTTCAGTGCACAGAGTCCTAAGAAGTTGCAAGTGTGCAAACAGGCCTTTACTGTCTTGAAACCGCTCTATAGTCCGTTTCACCCTACATACAAGCGCTGTGGATACTATGAGTCATCGGAGCTATTCAAAGGCCCTGTGAGTGTCACATAACCTTAGAGAGGAGGTGCAGCGATGGACGGAGACATTATCACATGCTACGATCGCGGAGCGGGATCGGCTAGGTTGGCTCGTTGTGTCCGCTGCATCTGAACGTATGGTGAAATGGAGTATAGCAACAGCATCCTGCCGACGGATTTCCAAATCTTCACATTCTTTTTGTTAAAAATATTGAACCAGGGAGCTGTTCACACAAGTATTTCTAGCCTAAAACCCATGTACTACAACCAGTTTGCAACATTAAATATTTGCCGCATTGATGTTCTTGCCGTGTCGAACCGTAAGTGCTTGTGTCGACGTTGTAACCTACCGTAACTTTTCTTTGTGGTAAAGCTAAGCTTTCTCGAGCTTTCAGTGTTAGTATGGGCGACTGTGTTTCCCCTTCCCAGCAGTCATTCACAAATGGATATGAAACACATCTCTCGGTCCACTTATATTGACAACTCACAGATCGATGCTAGGGGGGCCCGAGGCAGCAGACGTTCACTGCTCCCAGGGTCGTCGAGCAATCTATGCACGTTGCTGTTGCTACCGTCGTTGAGAGCAGAGTGTGATATCGAAGAGAGCCCGTGCCATTCGTCCCTCCCTTTTGTGAATTCAGGCCCTTTTGTGGCCACCGCCGCCTCGGTTACATCACTGTCCTCTTGCGCGACACTTGGAGATGGTTTGTCCTTGTCGTCGTAACTGGGTCACATGACGTCGGGCAGTGGGAGGGGAAAAAACTCTGAAGGAGCCACGCGAAAATCTTAGAGGTGCACTAAAGTGCTTTTTGAAAATATTTGTTTTTTGGTGTTATATTTCATAATAGCTGTCAGTTGACATCTATATGTAGTTCCAGATTACACCATTGCCTACTGATTCCACGACAATCAAAATCATGCAAACTCTTTTCCCTCGCGTTTTATTTTTTTTCTGGACCAATGGAGATTTCGATTGTTATCATTATACCTAGTTTTGAGCATGTTCGCATTGCATTTTGACAAAGACGCAAAATGTTAATGTTGCAAAAGGCATAATGCTAAAATTTCACTTCAAAACCAATGAACTATAATTTTTCTCGCTTTTTGCCATACCCAGAGCAATGTGTCCACCTTACTCTATCGGCTCCGTATGATGGATGGATGGACTGCTGGAAATCAATTGTATTCTTTATAACGGGCGGTAGCTTGCGCCACCTAGCTGCGGCGGGCCGTCGCAGTTCGTCTTTGTCGTGCATCGTGATGTCGACAGCTGCACATGCCCAATCGTGTTGGCCGACGCTGGCTGGGAACGGGAGTGTTTACTCCAGCCTCATTCGCAACGTGACCTAGCGCCTTGTAGCCCGGCGTGCGTCGGCGTAGCTCACAATGGAAAAGCAGGCCGCACTCTCTGCACACCGAGGACTGTAGCTTCCCCAGAAGCTCGCACGAGCACCCCATTGGGGAATATGGATGTCGGTGTTGTCAGGGCCAGTCGAAGTGGTGCTCAATTATGCGATCTGAACCTGCTATTCTTGACATGTGTCATGTCCTGTTCTCGTGTTCCTGTGCTGGTGTGCATATTTAACGTTTGTGCGATCGACTGGGCGAGTGTGTGCGTGTACGTGGACTGCTCTTCCGAGGATACGCTACTCCCTAGGTGCGGGGCCTAACATGCCGGACTCGCATGCACGTTGTGCCGGCAAAAGTTGGAAGCTCAATGACATGCTGAAGGCCATTCCTGGTCGAAACAAGCGCTGTCGAATCTACGGGAACAGTGAACCCAGTGAAACATCTGCTATTTAGCCAGCCAGAAATGTTCAACTGGGGGGTCTCAGTCTATAAACGATAGTAGCGGTAGAACGAGGGGACTTTGTCCCATGACATCTTCATGTGTAGTCTCTAGTGGGATGAGGCAGTTATTAATGCAAAACCATTAAAGGGCAACTCCGCTTCTTTTCCATAGTGCAAAACTATATAGTTCTCTTTGTTATCATCTACAAAACCCCCATGGCAAATATTACGACGGAATTCCGCCTAGAAGTTCATTAAAATCGCTGTCAAAGTTTGACAAGCACGAATCCGCTGGTTTTGGATGAGACGTGCGGGCCAGACAACACTGCCCGGCTGCATTTCCGCTTCCTCCAAATTCCTTCTCCCGGCACGTCCGCGACGTCATCAAACATGTACAACTTCTTTTTTTTTTAATTTTGTTTTTTTTTTCCCGGGGAGAGCACGGGTGGCGCCAGCGCCGTGAAAGACGTGAGTGAAGCGCTCGGCCGGCCCGGCGCTCGACTATTGATACTACTGATAAGCCGATCGCCTCGTTGAGCGCCGGCTTGTGTTACATCGCATACTTTTGAACACCAAGTAAAAGGAGGAGAGGGAAGCTGCTTTTGTAAGAATTTTGAGTGACAGGTTAATCTTCTATAATCTTCTGGGAGGAGAATAGCGACGCCTGTGCTTATCCAGGGGGCACAAAGGAGGATCCTGATAAGAGGGGAGCTCCTTCTTCCCCTTGTATATCACGTGGGTGTACATGCTTAGTGATGCCGAATATACAATGTTGTGCGGCTTTGCCCCCGTTTCGGTTTCGCTTTGTGATCATGGCTAAAGTAAAATTACACGAAAAATATTTTATTTTTCGCGAAACAAAAGATTGGGGATTGTTTTTGAATGCTTCAAAAAGCAAAATCGGCCACTATCTCAAAATTTTTGAAATTAAGCGGAGTTGCCCTTTAAAGGGCAACTCCGCTTCATTTTTTGTTCTGAAAAAACAATACAGTCCTCTTCAGTATCGCCTAGGAAGACCACACGTCAAATATTACGACGCAGTTCTGTCTAAATGTTTCTTAAACGGTCCGGCAAACCTTGCAACTCGCCAAGTTGCCGAAATCGGCTGACTCGAGCAGGCGAATTCAGGCGCAACCAACAGCGCAGTCAAGGCTACGGCATGGGCGGAGCCAACATTGAGCTAAACGTCATCATCATGGCCCCCTTTTGCTTGTTTTTACTTCTCCGATCGAGCGTAGCGCATAACGTCAGCAGCGTTGCCTCTCGGCGCTCAGCGGTGTCCACGTGATAGGCGTATGCGCCTGCGAAGCGCGCTTCTTGGGAGCAGACCAACTGCCCGCCGTGGTCCCGCAGTTACCGCCGTCTTCTGAGTCACAACCACCGTCGTCGTCTCACCGTTTGTGATTATTGCCTCTCGGAGTTTCGTCCACACTATGGACACCACGTGCGCAGAGTCGCAGACTTATGCCGCAGTTGTGCAGACGTCGTCGAATGCCGTAGACACTAAAACGTGGTGAAAAGTGCGGTGCAGACGACACTCGCGCCTGCCGCACGCCTACCACCATCCCGCCCGTCGTTGGGCCGAGGATCACGTGACATCTCGTACCACGTGATGGCCATGTACTTGGTGGCCCGAGGCCAATGTTGCCGGACGGAGCCGAAGTTTCGGTTTCGATTTCCGCTCGTGTTTCAAATTAGATTTAAAAATATATATCCCATTTTTCGCGAAGCAAACGACGTAGTGTCTTTTACTAGGGCTTTTTAATTCGAAATCACTTATTATCCCGAAATCTTCGGAATTGAGCGGAGTTGCCCTTTAACTGTCCCATGGAGCGAGCCGACGTCATCAGCTGCTGTGCCAGACGGCGGATAAATTCCCCTCTCCCAATGGAGCGAAGTGAAGCCGCGATCAGGGGCATCCCAGCTTTGAAGCCACGCAAAAAGCCGAGCCAAACGGCAAATAAATTCACCTCTTCAAGTGAAGCCGAAATCTCATGGATAGGGCTCCCATTGGCTGGCGCACGCATGGTTACAAGGAACGAGGCTCCCATTGGCCGAGGCACGTCACTTTCAAGGAGAGCCACCCCATGGCACTACGTGCCCGCGCCAGATAAAGCTCCGCTATAGCGCGTCAGGAAAAGGAAGCGTTTGTCTGGTAGGGCCTCCCAGAGAGCCTTTTGCTTACCTGGCTTGCTGTGCGACTGAATGTAATGATGAGACCTGGGGTGCCATGCTTCACGGGTGAAGGGGTCACTTGAGCAGGGCTCATGCAGCGTGCCATACCTCAAGGTTGATGACCGCAGCAGTTTGATGTCATGCAGCAGAAACAATCACAAAGCTAATACTGCTACAGTTTTGCAAACAAGCAGAATAGATACCATCGAGCAGAGTGTCTGAATCTGAACAGCAGCTAAGCCCAGTTGCTGGAGCAAGCGTGCCACGCATATTGAACACTTCAACAACAATATACTAAATGATGAATTATAACCTCGTCACTCAGAAATTACTACGAACCAATCCACATGCCAGCATGGATTTACTGCATTAACGTGTCAAGGGAAAGAGAACCAAAATTGCTGCGAGAAGTCTGTCTCCCAGCGTAAACCCGCAGTGCGTGCCACCATTTTCCTTTAATGTTCATAAGGTTGTGATGCCAGCGATGTCAAGAAAATGAGTGGAAGTGACTGACTGGCAGTGTGCTATGAATCACCTGGAAGCATTGGCTGCTGTATTCTTGACTTGTCACTGACTATAAGTGGCTACACTATTGGTTTTTATGGCAACCAACAGCAAAAACGGGGATGACCATTGATTATGTGTTTGTGCTAACTGTATCATGCTGTCTACCTGTAAGGGGATGAATTTTAGATGCCTTTACTTTTTGCACTTGTTTCATTGATTTTAAATTCTACATCACTCCTTTCATTTTCATTTTCACACCTCTCAAAGGGCAACTTTGCTTCGTATATGTTTCTGAAAAATCGATGCAGTCTTCAGTTTCACCTAGGGAGACCACACGTCAAATGTTTCAACCTAGTTCTGTCGAAGTGTTTCTTAATTAAACGGTTGGCCAAACTTTGGAACGCACCAAGTTGCCTAAATTGGCCGACTTTAGCATGCAAATGTAGGCGCAATCAACAGCACAGTCAAGGCTACAGCGTAGGCGTTGCCAACATTGAGCTAAACATTATCAACATTGCCTTTTTGTTTTTTATTACTTCTCCAGACAAGAGCGCAACTCCGCTTTATTTTTGTTTCAAAAAACGTTCAGCCTTTCCACTCTTGTGAAGAAGGAAGACCAGCGGAGCTGCACTCAATACACTGCCAAAACGCGCACGCACCCATTTCCCGCTTCTTCTCGTCCGACACGCCGCCGATCGTGGATTCGTCTCCGGCGACCCAGAGTCGGTCGCACACGGTGCACGTGACGCAATACGGGTAATCCACGAACTCCCTTCGAAACATCGCCGTCGCGCCCGGGAACTGTTCAGCCGGTGTGGAGTGCAGTCGTCGCTGGGCCTCACGCTTGCGCTTGGCCTCCGTGGCATGATCGTCGTCCGTGGCGCTGGCCCGCCAGCGCCCTTTACATTGCTGGTTCTGTTCTTGGCGGTGGCTTTCCAGGCGAGCAATGTGCTCTTCTTCGGGAAGGGAATCTGAAGCACTCGACGCAGTGGAAGTCGAGGCAACAGCGGCTTTGCGGCGGTTACGGACCCATTCGCGCTGCTGCGTACGTCGCCCGTCCTTCCGCAGCCAGTCTTCTTTCCCTGAAAGGGCTCGCGGCCGACCCATCCTAAGTCCAAACTGAAACTGAGAAGAGCGTAGGAAACAGTGCGGCAAAACAGACGAAGACGAAGAAACACACGTGACGAGCGCTGCGCTCATTATGTGTGCTTTTTTTTTGTCGTCGTCTGTTTTTCGCGCTGTTTCCTAATATGAATTCCCACCAATGCGCCGCCCAACTATTCATTCTTCTATGATAGCTGTAGAGTGCCTTCATACACACACCCTAGATAGCTGGAAAGGTTGGCGCCATCTACGAGCGATGGCAGCAACCATACTGGTTGTATGCTTGCCGCCGTCGCTTATAGCTGGCGGTAGCTGTTCAGAGGTGTTTTTGTCGACAAGTGTTTTGTATCGGACACAATCCTCGGGATCCTAGCTGTTAACAGCTCCGCCGCAAAAAAACAGTGCAGTCCTAGCCATGTTTTTGGCAGCCTGAGGCCAATGTTGCGCAACGGAGCCGAATTTTTGGTTTCGTCTGTTACTCACGTTTAAAGTAAGATTTTTGCAAAGCAAATGACATAGTGGCTTGAAGTCATCCAGAAAGTCAAGGAGCGCATAATTTTACAATCCACGTCTCAGATTCGGGCGGAAGCTTCAAATCTGGCTTTTTTAAATAGTTTTTTGAATAGTTCCTAGCTGTGCAACGATTTTAACATTGAAGGAATTGGCATCTTCTACTTTTGACATTGTTCATCTCGTCACAAAGGGCAGAAAACACACCTCCTTCCTTCGAAATGTTGCAATTCCGCCGCGTATTCACGAGGCAAAAATTAGAATATTCCGCGACCTGCAGCCGTGAGCGGCGGCCATGAGAACCACGTGGCATGGCGTCAGTGGGGGTCTCATAGAAAGCAAGTTGTGCAAATACCTGCTCGATAAAAGGTAACTTTTCTATAAATTTGTCGTTCCCACGCAAATAGAAATGCGTCAAAAACCTGGTATCATCGGCAAAACATTTATTATACGGAGTTTCAGTGGTGCCATCTATCCTAGGTCCACAAAACTGTCAACTCTATCTGCCACCGTGAACAGCCGCCAGAAGCCGGAGGGGGAGGGGGGCAGAGCCGGACGGGGGTGGCCGGACAGGGATGAGACTTACCTCCTTTCGCCATATTGTTCGCGCTGGGCCAGCACGTGGTCACGCGGTCGCGAGCAGAAGAGTTCTCGCTGCTCACTGATGGCTCTAGAGAGAGAGCCTCACTGGAACCCCGTGCGACCCCCATTGACGTCACAGCACACGTGACTCGGAAGATGGTGAAGAACTTCAGAGGGGCCGAAAACCTCAATCTTATTACTTCAGAAAGGTTGTGACACTAACTCCGAAATTATTTAAGCAGAGCACTGAAATTGTTGTACAGCTCCTTTAAGCTTAAAAGTGTTAGGACGATTCCTAGAAATCATTTCCAGTCGTTTGCAATAATAAAGAAAATTGATGCTGGGGTTGTAGTGGCCCTTTAGAGATTTCAGTTTATCTTAGCCTGCTTTTTATTTTTATTTCAGTCTGGAGACTCGGAGGAGGAGCATGAAACCAACGAACAAAAAGATGACAAAGTGACCAGCAATGGACAGGTTGCTGCAAACGTTGCTGCGGCCCTGGTGTAATCTTATTGAGACACTTGTGGTCAAAGATCATGCCTGACAGTGGGAGTGCACATAATACGCATGTGCAGTGGTTTGCATTCTACAGTTGCAGCCAAGCATGTAGCCAGGATCTTGTTTCTTGAGGGAGGTGTGGGTGCAAAGTAATTTATTGGAGCAAAAGGGCTCTGTCCCCCATGGTAAATTTGAAATTGTTTCCACCGCACACCTTCACGTTCATTTTAGGAAGGGAAAACCGAAAGGAAAGCGAAGAGGATGATAAAGTTTTCTGTTGGACGAGTTTGAAGGGATCAGAAATGTTTCTGCGTTTGAGTTTTACGGCAGGCAGAAACTTGATCTCTGCCATGAAATTGAAAGTTAATTTTATTTTCTTTTTTAAATTGATTTCAGAGTTTATCATGATTTATCTGTGACCTCTAAAAGTGACAGTTCAAGTTCCATAACATGGCAGCTGGATGCAGTTCACAGATTAACACGAGCAATGCATCAGCAGTTATTAGGGTTCGTGTTTCTGTTAGGACATTCATTGTAGTGATATCGCCAATTAAAGTAGCGTCCAAACTACAGTGTGTACTCTGAGCATTGTCAACCTATCTGCATTTGCGGGATGATATTGGCAGCATGAACTTGGTGGCAGAACATGTGCCTGTTTGTTCTGGTGACGAGTTGGATGCGCTGTTCTATTTCTCCGGTGCGTGTCGTATGTATGATGAATATCAGGCCCGATGAGCATTAAGCAAAAGTCAGAAAGTCGTTTTATGCGGTAGCAGCCAGTTCGTCGAACGTCGCCTTATCGACAGCTCGTCTTGTTGACAGTTTATTTCATCGAAAGGTTCCCGCGTTTGTTTCATCGACGCAGCTTGCAACGTTTCGTCGAAATCGTCTTCCCGCCCACATCGCTTCGGTTGCCGGAATCCGAATAGTAGCCTAGCTTGCCGAACCTTGGGCGTTTCCGATAAGGCCTGGTGCAAGCTCAAGCCTAAGATTATATTAAAGTTTCCCCAGGCAAAGTGAGGGGTGCTCATGCGTAGCGCAGGCTGTTTTGAGGTTTAGGATTAGGGCTCGAGAATTTGTTTTTTCTCTACCGGAGCCGCTTGGGTCGGTCTGCTTCTAGTGACTAGAATTAAAACAGTAATCCCAATTCAATCCATTTAGTAAAAGATATTTGTTGTCGATGAAACGTTGCAGAAGCACAAGTTCACGAAGCATTGCGGTGTACACGAAATGCGTGTCTATGAAAGGTTGTCTTGCCATGAAACATGTTTCCAATGAAACATGTTTCGACATGTTTCATGTCGAACTTCCGATCGGAGCCTGTTAATTTAAAGGAAGGAAAGCGCCGGGCAATGGACCTCTGTAACAACATGACACTGACCCAACTGGCTGGCTCCATCAAAAAAGCAGAAGGGTTACATCTTCATGTGTTCCTCAGTGCCAAAACTCATAAGGACGCTTGCCCGTTTCGCGCCATCGTTACTGAGCGAGGGACCTGGCAGCGCCATGTGGCGGCGTACCTTCAAAGGCACCTGTCTGGTTTGAACCTCACCGATCCTTTTCTTGTCCGCAACTCTGAGGCGGTGGTTGAATCGTTGATTTCTGAGAGGTACAGCAATCATGGTGTTTTCAGTGTGGATGTTGAAGACCTTTAAGGCCTGTTCATACATACGGTGCAGCACTGTAGACAAAACGCTGACTTTGCACGATGTTAGTGCTGCAACAGTATTCCAAAGCATGTAACCCAGCTATTTTTTTTTATGCATACAATGCAGTGCTAACTCAGTGCTTAGCCAATGCTAACTCTGTGCTGAATCAGACTGACATTAGCACTGATGCAGTGCGGACTTAGCGTTATCTCAGCTCTGAGATGCATCTGTGAACTGGCCTTCGGTAGGATGAATGAATGGTTGCAGATGGCTGAACCCTTTAAATCGGATGGCAGCTTGCTCCACCTAGCCAGCGCTGTTAATAGTTTTCTTTTTGTGCACAAGGCATGTTTTGTGGTTGGGAAAAGCGTTTTCTCACACAGCACGAAACGTGGGAGAGGCAGCTCTATTTCCCGGTTACGTGCCTGGTTGCAGCTACAGAAGCATAAGTGGTGATGGGTGAGCCTGTTGTTGGGACCTGCTCATAAATAAACTTTGCAAGTTACTGTGAATTGCAACGGTTTCACTTATCACTTATTTATTTGTGCTATTGCAGCACTCTTAAGCGGCTTGAAAAAAAACCTTTGTTATGGCACACTGACGAAACGAACAAAAGGCAGAAGGGAAAATACAACGCAGCCGAGAAAAATTACAGTTAAAGGGACACTGACAGGGTATTTATGCTCGCCGAGGTTTTTAGTTACACGTGACATATGAGAGCTCAACTACCCAGAACAGAATTTGCGGCTCGAAATTCGGTTTCTTTCCGCCCGAAAACCGCCGATCAAGAACTGGCCGGTTCGAGTCTCGCTCACTCTCTTTTCCGCGGTCACGGGCCGTTTTCTAAGGTATCGATGCGACCACCAAATTTAATCAAAGTCGTGGGTCACTGAAGGCACACACTCAATATTAAAAATAGAAAAAAATATGAAACCCATTTTTTGTGGCTTCAAAAAAGCTGTAAATACGTTGATTGAAAAAAAAAAAGTTCCACAGACAACCGGAAGCATTCTGTGCGTCCGTCGTTTCGCGTATCGTGGGACTCGCGGGGACGGCGATGGCAGCGGACGACGGGCGTGGGACCTCTATTTCAGAACTGTCGTTCCCGGTACCGGCGAATTCTGTCTACCGTTAAAAGAGAAATTTGGGACTGATCAAAAGAATTGGTATTCATCCCGTACGACACGCCCGGCCACCAAGCCGATTTGCACGAAGACGTCGCCGAGCCGTCGCTCCCTTCTCGTGGCTGAAGACAACGCTCGCGCAAACGTCAAGCACGACGTGTCTACTTCGAGTTGAATATGCACGCGTACGATTTCTTTACTAGGTGCGAATGTCCCCAAAGCGTGGTGCTTCCCGACTTCGACCCGGGAGTGCTTTTGCTAGAGAAAAATCGACAGCAAACTTTCCAACTTACAGTTTACCGGCTGAATTATTACTAAGGAAAGAGATCCACCAGAAACGAGATGCCCCAGTAGTTCAGTGGGAAAGACGTCCGCTTCACACGTGGTAGGACCGGGTTCGATCCCCCGTGAATTTTTTTTTTTTTTTTCAAACATTTTCTGATGTTTACATATCTTTTTCTTTTTTTTACAATCATCACTGAAGAAACAAACAAAAAAATAAACAAATGTTGTGGACGATATTTCGCTGAATTAAACATTATGGGATTTCCGTTTTGACACCTGCGAACTCAATGTAATCACTTTCTACAAAATGCAAGGAGCATATAAATCAGGTAGCGTCCGCTTTCCGAGGTGCCCGTAAATGTTCTACAGGAATTGCAGCCAGCCATTGGTCCCGATCCCGTTGATCTTTCGGAAACTCTGTCGCACAATGCCACTTTTCTTCGGATGTGAGCCAGCTCTTCACGCAACATCTTGGGTTTATTCTTTTCGGAGCCGATCATGGAAATTCACCACGGGCACTCACTACTCATCTCCAACTCCTCAATGTACAAAACAACTCATCTTGGAGTACAGAACAACGAGCGGAACAAACATAACTGCAAAAGAATCGCACGGCAAGCAGTTCAACTTCCCGCACGCCGCATCGCACGCCGCATGTCGTGTCGTCTGCTACCGGAGAGGAGAAAGAAAAAAAAAAAAAAAACGCACGGTCGGGTGTAGCCACGTGACTTCCGCCAGTCACTCTCTTCTCTCCACTTCTCCGACCTCCGTCGGGTTTCGGTTTCGGTTTCGAGCAGTTGCGTCTTTTGGCTTTATTAAAGAAATACGCTACTCTGTTGCAAAATATTAATTGGGTAGTCCTCCGACACCATAATGAAGCGCCTGGCAAAAAATAAAATTTTTTTTTGGGGGGTGTCAGTGTCCCTTTAATGTTAGTTATTGACGTGGGAGAGATTGGACAGGTCTAGTTTCTTTTGTCCACTGGCATTGTCTTTCTAACAATCAATATATTTTTTTTTTCTAAGATCAAACTATGCTTTGTTACATTGTAGGTAATTGTTAAACCTTCAAAGTGTTCTTTTGATATAAAAATAAGGTTACATCAAGTTGCATGGGTACAGACAACGGGAGTGACTTTTCACATCAAAACTGCCAAATACCTTGAGAAATTGCCTACGATGAGCTAACTCATGCGTAAAATTTAATAGAAGTGTATACATTATAAATTTCACCTCCCAGTCGTGGTCATTTCTAGGAAGAATGTTGCGGTGCCAGCGACATCAGAAGTGTTCTGGTGATCGGGGTGACAAGGGATGCTGAAGAAGGGTAGGTGGGGTGCCCCCTTCGTTCCGCTGCCACTGTACAAACGGGTTGTGCGAATATTCGACTTTTTGGAATAGTACTGAATCATACGCGGTGCGATTTTCGCTTCGAGATTAACTGCGATAATCATACTTTTCGAAGTGTTCATCGCGGCGGGTTAGTCCCGTTGAGTGCGCTTCTCACCGAGCGCCTGTGGACTGCGGGGAAGCAATACTCGCTAAGCTTGCGGACTTTGCGTTTATTGCTTACCCACAGTGCACAGGTGGTCGGTGAGAAGCGAACTCAACGTGGCTAACCGGCCGCGTTTATGATCTAGGAGACCTCCCGTTAGGCAGCGATGTCTCAACATCTAGTGTTCATCATTCACGCAGTTTCTTTTTTTAACGCGATAGATAGCGTTTCGGGCTTTGTGTGGCAAAAAATCCGTCGTCGGTGTCGGTGGGAGAAAAAAATCCCACAATAGACCGCATTTCCCCCTCCACTAAGCCCTCTGCAACGAAGAAGCCGCTACTGCGCCTGCGCGCCGTTGGCCTGCTGTAGAGTTTCGGCGAAAACGTTCTACGAAAACTCCCTAATGCAACGCTCGCAGCCACGTCTGACGTCGCACGTGACATCATGACCCTATCGACTCTCTAAATTTGTCGGGCAAATTTTCCTGCCAAATTTAGCGTAACATTTTACCGCCAAATTTAACGGAACATTTTAGCGGCAAGTTTTCCCGCCAAATTCAGCTAAAAATTTTCCGCTAAATTTTGCGGGTCGATAGGGTAATGACGTCACCTTGCTTCATATGGCTAACAAAACATTTTTAGCAATATTTGCGCCGTTAGACGCAATTTAGCTGCAGAATGTGGAGGTCGTAGCCCGCTGAGCCCCGCCCACTAACAAGGTGCTTACATCTCTCATTGGCTGGTGAGATGATTGACGTGTAAAGTGTTGGTTGTAATATTCTGTCCGTGCCGTAATAATATTTTAATGGACAATATTTTTTTTTATATTTGAGAAACAAAAAATTCATAATCTGTTGCAACTCAAGAAGGTAAGGCGAGGATAAGACGGGCCGGGGAGGAGGAAGCAGACCGAACGCTAAAGAGAGAAGGTGTCCCCTCTCTTCTCCAGCGTTCCTTCTGCTTCCCCCTCCCCGGCCAATCTTACCCTCGCCCTACCTTTTTGAGTTGCAACGGACTATGGTTAGTTATTGTTGTTTTCAAAAATATTCAGAGATTTTGGGGTTTCGGTTTCAGTTAAACGATAACAAACACCGCTGCCGGCGTTTACCGAGTGATCAACGAGAGCAGCTTGTCGAGCTCGTCTATATTAAAGGGCTTATGAAACGAAGATGTCCGATCTGGAAAGAATTGTCTGAGCATGAACTCTGGTTTTTTCCGTACTTGTGATACATTTCAGGAAGTTCATAGCTTTTTTACAAGTTCCCAAGGACATGCTTTCCGAGTAGCTCACGTTAATATTCGCAGTATCCGGAAATACTGGGACCATTTTTTTTTTCTTTAACTTCCCCTTTTCATGGCTTTTTTGATGCTTTAGTGCTTACTGAAATTAATATTCCTTCTGATTGCATCGCAGGGTATTCAATACCAGGCTACCAAACTTTTTCTTTTACTCGGCCGACGGGGAAAGGAGGGGGGGTGGCAGTATATTTGTAAGAGATATATGGTCTGTGTCTGAGCTAGGTTTTTGTTTCCACCAAGCGGAAGCAGTAGTATTACGGTTAAGTACACCTGAATTATCGTTAGTTTTGCTGTCGGTTTACCGGCCTCCATGTTTCAATGGGCGTTTATTTTTGGCTGAGCTTGATTCAGTGCTGACTTCACTCTCTTAGGAAGATCTTGTCTGTATGATAGGGGATATTAATATTAACACACTTCGCCCTACTTTAGCAGTAGTCGGGGACTATCTTGATGTTCTATCTAAATGGGGACTGCAAAATACTATTCGCGAGCCTACCCGTGAAGAGTTTTTATCGGGGCAGCTAACCGTATCTTGCATCGACCACGTAAATATTCGGGCCCTAAACTTAGCTACTCAGTCAGCGATTGTGGAAAAAAAACTTGCTGATCATTATTTTGTTTGTTGCTCGATAATGAAGCAATCTGATCTACCGGCCTCAGCCACGGATAAGAGGGAAGTTTCAATAGTTGACCCCCGAATTTTTGATAAACTTGTTGCGCAGCATGACTGGAACACTTTTTTGCTTACCGTCTCGCCTGCTGACAGTTATGAACAGCTTGTTACCCAACTAAACCGTTTTAGGCAAGCAGCTACGCGCATTGTAAAAATCAAGCAACGGAACTTAAACCACAAATGGATGTCTTCTGAAATTTTGGCTGCAATTAAGGAAAAGGACCTTCTATGGTCTCAGTTAAAGCGCTCTCCCAGGTGCACCGAGTTGCAACTAAAATACAAGATGTGTAGAAATAGGGCCAATGCAATGATTCGTCGCGCTAAACGATTTTACCTTCGTAGCAAATTTAACGAGGCTCGTACCGACCCCAAAAAAACATGGTCGTTAATCAATGATGTTAGAGGAACAAACACAAAGGCTACAAGCCATAGCAATTATCGCTCCCTTTTATCATCAGGGGGACAGAGTATCGCCAATGATTTTAACCATCTTTTTTCTAAAGTATCGGGTACCACGAGGCAACACACGAACTCGTGTACATTACGCAATAGCGTTTTGGAATCTGCTTATTTACCCTTCTTGGACGAAGATGAGCTTAAAACCGTTCTTTTCAGTTTAAAATCTAATAAGTCGCCGG